GCCTGGGTCCTAACCCTTTGTGAAGTCTGGGAGCTTCCAGCTTCTGTGCACTTTATTCCCGCCTGTAGCACTAACACACCCCTCTCTGCCTACAAGCCTGTTAGGCATTTAAAGTGACCGCAGACTAATAAAGAGCTCTAGCTTATCACTCATTTGCATACATATGTTTCTGTTGATTCCTTCAGTCCCTAGAAACTAGGCTTTCCAATATGCAATATAATTAAAAACAAAAGCACGTGTCAACATGCTTTTTCCTTCTGCACTATAGAGTGAGTTCCTGTCTCATTCATAGCCTTGTAAAGAGCTAAAAAGGCAGCACCAATGATTCTTATTCTGATGGGATTATCATATAATGACATTTTAAGCGAGCTTGATCTCTTCAGCCCAGAACAAGGAGATTCAACTACATAAAACTGAGAGCAATATTTAAAGTATATTGGATTAAAAGAAATGTATTCACAAGCCTGTTTGTTTACAATATCAGAGGGCTGCTTCACATCACCACAAGTTTTGTTACCTTGTTCACAGACAATGATGGCAATACGGCTCTGTGAATACCTGGAAATGTAGTTTATTTTGTGATTGTAAATGGGAGGTTTTACATGTTGTTACCGTGTACATTTATTTTCATAGTGGTTTGAATTGCTAATTCTTTCTAGCCCTGAAATATGTTTAAATATGTTGCACTCTCTAATTTGGGGACTAAAGAAAGAAGAACATCACCAAAAACAGTAAAACTCTCAGCTCATCCCAGGCACCCTCACACCCTGATGATAAGAAAGAGCAGCCTGTTGTGAGCTCGTCTGGGTACAGCCCTGCATGATGCATAAGGCCAACCTGTCAGATGTGTTCGTACTTGTACATTTGTGTGTCACAGCCCTTTATCTCTGCTCCATTACAGCTCGCTCCAGAGGAATTTCTGTATGTAGCACAACTCTGCTTATTCATAGCATAGATGCATGAATATCACAGCTTGCAAAAGCTTGGGAAGATCTTGATACATTTCAGAAGTGTGATTGATTATGTCTGATTGCACCCGGATGGTGGAATACAGCTCAGTCATTGTCATCTTTGGGTGTTATAGCACTGAAATAAATTAGCTCTAATATAGCATCAGCAGTTTTTTTAGGTCAATGAAAAACAGAACAAAAGCCATATTTGATTATTTTGCCAAAGCATCATGTAATTTGTTTCTCTGGTGACATGAGGCAGATGCAGGGCAAAATGTCATTTTTTCCATTTGAGAATGCATTTTTCCCTCCCAGAAAACTCAAGGCAGCAGGGATCCAGATTACAAATTGAGAAACTGACATTACAACAACACCAGCAGCTCCTCACACACCAATGACTATTTCCTTCCACAGATAAAAAGCTGTGGCTCAGGAGCAGTGTAATCTCATTTACATTTGTCCCTTTCATGACATAGACAGGCTGTCCAGCGCAGTATGGGCTGCATCTCTGTGCTTGGCTCTTAATGTCCTCTCTGGGCTGGACAGCCTGGGAGGAGGAAACAGCAGATCCAGGCGTCTGATGGCAGCTTATTAAAAAACAGGATAACTTCTTAAACATCTGCATTGTTCCTGTAACAAACCTGAGCCCTGCTGTCTGGAAAAGGCAGTGTGAACTAAGCACTTCATGTGACCTCAGCTAGGGTTTCATTGAAAAAACAAGGAAGCACTCGCACTCATGATGTGTGTGATTTTCTGGAATATTAATAATGCACTAAATTTCTAACCATAATCCTTGTGAAGTTATCTTGTGTGTGCATTCCTGCAGGTTATTTCTGTTAGGTCTTTTAATGACTGTAGGAGCGGGTTTCCACAACAGATTTAACAGACAGCAGCACCCACTAACACAGCAGCATATAGAAATCAGTTAAAATTTCTTCATTTCTCTGAAGACATGGACACCCTCTATAAAAGCATGTCACAGCAAAATTAGAGCAAATGTAACACTGCACACTGCACAGAGGAATTTTGTTCAAACTCTTGTTAAACACATGGAGGTACAGAAAAGCCTGCTACAGACCATGGAACCAAGGAAGAAACAATCAAATACAGGGGACAATGCCAGAGACACCTTGCACCTTGACTGCATCACTGCACTCTCTTAAGGAATAACAGAACACAGGCAGTACGCGCAGCCTGCATCTCCTGCTCTCTTATACAATGCTGGCATGTGTGTGTGTGTCCACATTCATGTCGAATCACGCACAGAGCTAGGGAAAGTATCCAGATGTCTTCTACTGCAGTGAAAGTACTTGTAGATAAATTAAGCACCTTACAGTATTTTAGCAGAGAAGCTCAGAAGGCCCACAGAAACCACAGAGACACCCAGTCTTCCTGTTCCCTGGGGTGGGCAGGCTCTGGCAACACTGCTTTGCTCTCTTCTCACACTCTCATGCACTCAGACAGAGCGTCACGCTCGCTACCTCAGAGCTGAGGCACACCGAGGAGCACAGATCTGGGCAGGCGATGCCAGGGGTGCTCACCCGTGCACGGTGCGTGCTTGTGCAGGGTGGGCACCATGCCTTGCCCCAGGGTGGAGGTCTGAAGATGCCTCTGGAGCAGAGCAAAAGAATAGCCAGACAAAATCTCCCAGTACCCTGCTGGAATTGTGCTGTGCCTGGGAAGAGCTCGCAGCGTAGCCAGGCCAGATCGGTGTTCTTGCATGGCCCAGAGAGTGAGTATGAGTTACAGAGACATTCTGGGCCTCCTTCTCGGTATATATTGTATTTCCATTTTGCAATCTACAAACATTCCTGCTGATGTTATTCTCTGCTGCCTATCTTTTCTTTGTCTCGGCGCACTTAGATTCTGCTGTTAAAGAGCCTGGCCTCCTGCCCCCTCCTGTGCCAGGAGCAGGAATTCCAGGCTGCCGAAGCTCCAACCCTCAAGAGCAGCTGCTGTGGACAGAGCAGGCCAGGCCGGGACTCTCTCTCTCCATGCCGCACTCCAGCCCAGCCATGCAGGGCACCTTCTTCTTTACTCTGGCAGCAGTACAGAGGAATCTGGATGTGGGAAATTTCAGTCTCTGCCCCACTCAATAATTCAAAACCCAGCTGGATGTGCCTGGGCTGACAGATTGCTCTGAAAGTGTCACAGAAAAACTTTTTCTTAGCCCTTTTTTTGGTTCTCCAGAGTATATGTTTGCTCTAGATTTTTTAAAAGTGCAGCAACTTTCAGCAAACGTTCAGATGTAGTCAGACGCAACATGCAGTTCATGTGCAGAAGAGAAATCAGAGGGATGTCATTTCTGATCTCATGCTGTGACCTCTCTCCATGCCCAACACCAGTCTAGTAGAGGCGGCAGGCCTGGCTGTTCTCTTTAGTTCTCCTTCCTCCCAGAGCCTCACACACACTGGAGATGCTTGTCTAAGATGCTCGTCTGTGGGATCGGATCTGAGAATCACCCTCTTCTCTTGGTGGGAACAAACAACCAACCTGATGATTAGCCAGCTGCCAACACTGGATTTTGGAATCAGAGGCAGTGCTGACACACTTACAGCTGCCTCTACGAACTGCAGAATAGCAGAGCCCAATTTTAGTTCATCATTTTGCACATGACAGCCCTCAGTAAACAGCTATGCGCTCTTTATGTATAATTGATCTGAGAACTGTGCACAAACCAGTCGATGCCTTAATCCTCAGCGGGCCCAGATAAGCTCATGAAATTTTCTCTGCATGACATTTGCAAGCTCATATTGTACACACTTTCACAAAACACTCTCAGAATTACAACCACATAAACACATATTCTGTGGTAGCAACAGCTGTCCTGGATCACAAAGTTGAATCTGCAGCGAAATCTACATCACAGATCTACAGCAAAATTGAAGCAAGTCTGCTGTAAAGTGACTCAAGTGAGGTGGGCTATGAAATATTTGATTGCTTGCTCTACCAAGATCATCTGCATCTACCAAGGGTTTGTATATAATTTGGGATTTACTATATATAATTTAAACCATTCCCACAGGTCAGTCGTTGGGGCTCACAACGTCTTTTTCAAAATATTTTGGCTCACAGGAGACACAGCTGCACCCTGGGTCTTCAGTCTCTATGGCTGGTGCTGTGCAGAGCTGAATGATGGTAGTCAACCAGGACTTTTCTTCACTCTTCCTTGACTACCGGGCACAGTGACTGAAGGAAAAGCAATCCCAGTCTGCAAGCTGTTGAGATTCTGGCTGGTGGTATTCCTGGTCACTGAGGCACTGCTTACAGATCAGCTCTTTCCAGCCTCATGTCTCTGGTATCTTCAGGTCTACCAGCTCCCGGAGTTAATCACCTTTCCATTAATTGTTCAGCAACACTAAAGCCAGAAGCCATATCACCCGGCAACTCACAACTGGCAGACCACTGAAGCTCAGCAGGTGTGAGCCTGACCAGTACCTGCATGGGAGACCTCCTGGAAAAAACTGCTGGAAGAAGTGTTAGTGCAGCCAGTAGGGGGCGCTCACCCTGCAGTCTGTGTGGGTCCTAATGCCACAGTATAGTGACGTCAGATGAGACGTTAAACTGAGGTACTGACTCTCTGTGGTTAATAAAAATCCCAGGGTATTTCCCGAAAAGAGTAGGGGTATTACCCCAATGTCTTGGCCAAATTTCCCATTGGCCTTTACCAATCTTGGCTTCCTAATAATCCCCATCTCTGAACTGGCTTCGTCACTCTGTTCTCCTCCCCACTGATAGCTGGTGTGTTGGGAGCGGACTGATGCACTATGGCTGCTGTCACATCATACAGGTGGGGGTGCACGTTGGTGGTGGAGGAGTGTCCCCATTACCTGTAAAGTGCTTTGAGTGGAGTGTCCAGAAAAGCACTATATAGTGTAATGAATTATTATCATAACATTAAATTGCTAAGATTGCTACTTAGGAACTTAAGAGCCTACCAATCGGGGAGCCAGAAAAGGACGTGATAAGCTATACCATCGTTTCGGGGTGTCAGGAGGGAGTGAGGCACGTGACAGGAGCATGTCACCCCCCCCCCCCTCCGCTCGCGAACTGCAAGATCGGCTCGCGTTAGCTCGAACAGCGCGCCACTTCACTTCCTTTTCTGTTTACATCCACTCTAGGTGCGAGCACAGACGTTCTCGACAGACAGTTCTCTAAAGACATCAAAGCTCCGTGTGGCAGTCAGCGCTGTGTAAGAATTTGCATGGAGTTTTTTCGACTGCACACTTCCGGCATCGCTTGCCATTGGTCCAGGTGCTCGCTACACAACCTGTGGCAGGACCTGCTGTCTGTGTTTCGCCCGGAGTAAGAGCTCTCTTCACGCCGTGTCCCATCTACGACTCTAGAGCTGCTGCTGTTCTGTTTTGCCCCCCCTTCAAGAAAGCGTGTATTTTTGAACACCCAAGACAAAAGCGAAAGTTATTTTCCTGTCTGCTTGAGCTGCATGAAGACGCACCAACACGCCCAGCGCGCAGAGGTTTGTTCAGGGGCTCGAGCGCACAGCTGCCAGGAAGGACTCTGGAGCCTCAGAAGTTGCTATGTGGAAGCGGCTGCTATCACAACAACCCAACTTACATGAACTGAGCTGAAGGGGAAAACTTTTCTTTATTTAAAAAAAAAACTTAGCTCTTTGCTCTGCGTGTCTTCGAAGCACAAGGATCCGAAGATGTCAGAAATGTCCAGCTTTCTGCACATTGGGGACATAGTGTCCCTGTACGCAGAGGGGTCTGTCAACGGCTTCATCAGCACACTGGGGTGAGTAAGTGGCTTGCATATGTGCAGTCCCGTTGTTTTAATTGTAACAAGGTGCTTCACAAGTTTATTTGCCTCGCTGGTTCGAACCCTGGGAAGTTTCTGCAGCTGTTTGTGCTTGGTGCTGTGCGACACGGTCGGATTCAGCTGGGAGGTGAAGGAAGAGAAATACACTGCTGAGGTATCCTTGTAGGAGTCGCCCTGGCTTGGCGAGCACTCGAATGGTTAACCACAAACTGGACTAGCGGTCTCCTAGTCTTGGAAGAAGGCTGAGGACCGTGGCTCTGCAGGGCCCGTTCTGGACGCGAGCCGAGCCGAGCCAAGCCGTATCCGAGCGGCGGACTGGCCTCTGCTCTGGGATGCTCTTCCACATTAAGTACTGTGGTGCTTAATATTGAACAGCAATTCAATGTGTTTTTTTTTCTTCCAGAGGCAGTGAGAAGCAGTCACCTCACAATATAATTTTACCATCAACTTGGCTTAGCGTTTAGGAAATTGTATTTTCAGTTCGCTTTTTTAAGTGAAACAGTTCAGCTCGCCAATTTAAATTCCCTACCCTTACAAACGATTGCGTCTGCAATCGGATTATTATTTATTGACAGTTGTTACTCGGGACCTTCAAACACAGGCAAATCGAATGCAGGTTTGGTGGCCTCAGTTTTAGCTGCGTTCTTTCCATTGAACAGGCAGAAGTCGGTCAGCATGTGCTGCCACTTCACTAGGAAGACTTTAAGTAATTACCACTGCCAAATGACCATCGTTTAACAGTATTTCAAACACTATAATGTACTAGAGAATATTCTGTGGGATATAAAGTGTGCTGATTATATAATTACATAATATAATTACATGTAATTATGCAAGTTTATAATGTAATTTACATATAATTACATTTAAAATGCAGTAAAAGGGATTGTAAGTTGGAGCTGTGGTTAGCATTACTGCCTTGCAACCCTGGGCCCTGGGTTCAATTCCTGTGGTGATATCTGCATGGAATTTGAATGTTCGTGTGGGGTTGCTCTAGGTGCTCAGGTTTCCACCCACAGTCCAAAGAAATGCTGGTAGATTATTTGTCTTGTGGGAAAACTGGCCCTGATGAGAGTGTGCATTGGTGTTTGTGTTAATGTCTGCACTCTGATGGACTGGCGTCCCATCCAGGATGTATCCTGCCTTGTGCCCATTGCTTGCTGGGATGGGTTCCGGCTCCTCTGTGTCTTTGTTCTGGATAAAGGGGTTAGAAAATGGGTGGAAGCGGTACCAGTGTCGTGATGTGTAACCCCCCACTCAGCAAACTGACGGTAGGTTTGCAGAGAAACTCCTTCAAATCAGAAAGCATGTTAACACTGCAAAATATGATTTGGCTCCTCCCTAATTTCAATTGCTAACTGTCCAAGGCATATATCTCAGGTATGATCGCTATCGATCCCACCGCGAGTCTGTAATAATGTTGATTACTTGCATTTGCCCGAAGGACATCTAAGTGCTCCCCACACTGCAGGGGACCCACCCCATCTGCCCTCTGGGATGCCTGGCACACCTGGGCGCGCTGGCCTCTGTGCCCACAGAGTCTTCAGTGACTTCAGCAGCCTTGTGAGACACAGGGGTTGCTGTGCAGAGGCCAACAGGATCCTGAAGAAGGACAGAGCAGTCTTGTTTGTGTGAAGAATGTTATCGAGCTTCATTTGGCCCGACACAGAAGATACGTTGTCAGGTTTTAAAATATTCGTGGTGGGATATCTTTATCTTCTACTACCCCTTCTGTATTTCTGAGTTCAGAACGTGTGACTGAGCTGGCAGAAGTTCAGGTTCCAGCGTGCGGCTCTCTGCACAGCGAGGTGGCCACTGTTTGGGTAACAATGTTTATGTAGCATTCCCGTGTTATTGTGGCAAGACCAACAAGCATACCTTTTTAGAGTTTCCGTGTATATGCTTAGCAAATAGACAAGTGACTTACTACTGTACGTATCCATGAAATTCTTGACATCCAAGACACGGTTTGCTGTCATCATCACACAGTAAGCTAAAGTTAGGTTGCGTTCCCACATCTCCAGGTGTCTATATTTGACTATAGTGCCCAGAAGAAATGAAAAGAAAGAAATATTGTGAAATATAGTGAATTAAGTAGTGGCTGTTTATTTACATTGCTCAGCCCACTACCAGTGAGAGGGTTCCAGGGAAGTGATGAGAATGGGCTAGGACTGATGTGACTCATTGATGTAAAGCAAACTGGGGTAGCCCAGATCCAGCACTGCCGCAGTCTGATTTAATACTGTGTAATGCAGACCATTATGGTACCATCTAATAGGACAGGACATTAATGATCTTCCATGTCAATGGTAGCTGTGTAGCAGAATAAAAATGGGAACCAGCCTGTGTTTCATTCATACACACTGATACACAAATATGTTATTTGAAGAAAAAAATGGCTTGGTAACAACATCGTTACCCAGGTTATTTTCATTATCATCTTCAGATTTGAACTCTTTTTCTTTTGTTACACAACATCAGCTCATTTCATGCCATTGGGTGGAGGGGGGGATTCTTAAGAATCACACAGGATGACCGTTATATTCTACAAAGGGCTTGGTGTTTTTTTTCCAGGAAAAGCAAATAACCATTTAATAGCTATTGATATCAGCTTTCTGAGTGCCCGCAGAATGACTGATAAGACTCATGCATGTATCCAAAAGGAACTAAAAGAAACAATTGCATAGATCTGATTAGGAAGAATTAGAAAAACCCCTACATGCATGTCGGCAGTGTGGAGGAGTGGTCAGTGCTCTGGACTCCAGGGTCATGCATTCGAATCCTGAGTGGGTCAGTGCTGCTGTACTCTTGAGCAGTGTGCTTGGCTCCTAGTGTGGCCACCTGCAGTAGTGAGGAGGAGGTGATGGCATAGGGTCCATGCTGTTACTGGGAGCTCCCAGGGTGCCAGCCAGACTCATGACAAACATCACTCCTCTTGCTACAGCTGCATGGGAATGGAAAGTCAGTCATTCTGGCTCGGTGTGCTAGGAAGGGGTTAAAAGATATTGATCACTTCATAGAAAGATTCAGCCTCATTTTGAGTCATGAGTCAGACACCAGTGGAAACTAAGGGGAATAGCTTTGAAAGCTGAGAGCAGGTGACACCTCTTTACACAAAGGGTTGTGGAAGTCTGGAACAATTCGCTGCAATCCTGGGGAGCCTGGAGGTCAGCTAGAAGTTACACACACCGGTGAAAATATTTAAAAATGACTCCAAATTTGCAGTGACAATTAAACCCTGAAAGTAAAGGAATATAAGTCAATTCTGCTCTCCTGCTAAGAGGAGGGTCACTGTGTTTTGTTTACCGTATGTCCATGCGGTCAAAAGCTGGCAGCTGTTTTTTTTTTTTTGCTCTGGCACATCAATCACCTCATTCTGTAAATTAAAGCTTCCTGCAGTTCCTGTGGACGCTGACCAATACTTTCGGTACCCAGTAAGATCGATTAGCCATGCAAGCCAGATGGGCTGTCTGGCCTCCTCTCGCCTGCAGATGTTGTTGTGCACGACCATCCAGAGCTGCTGCCAGACTGCTCGTGCTGCAGCTGCTGGTTTTAATAAGGCGCAGCGGACTGAGACGTGAAGTAGCCATTTTTATGTTTTTCTATTTAGGGTTTCGGCAGAGCTGCAGAGTCACTATTCTTGTTGAGCTTGCTAGTCAGAAAGTGACCTCTGAATGATGGGTCACAGCATTGACACTTTGCATTGCCTTCCTGGCGTTGTGTCACACTGTTTAAAGAGCTGTGTCGCAAGAGACTCTGTGTAGTAATCTTTACCTTTCTGCATCTCTGTTGTGCATCAGTATCCCCTTTCAAGCTTCAGAAGTATCAACTTGACTAAAACATTCCTACACAGATTGCTGAAAATCTCTCAGAACCTGAGCAAGGAAGAGTCTGGGCACTGGCAGTAGCTGAAGCACGGTCTGGAGCTGAAAGGGAAAGGCCTAATACCGCCACTCGCATAAACGAAAGTAGCAGCATCATAAAGCACTAAGGCACATGGCGAAAGATCAGGGCTACCCAAGTTTTACAAAACGGCTACAGAGGACATGGCATAAATATGAAATAGACAAATAGCTAAATCAGCATGCAGATACACTGCAGGAAGGTAGCTGAGGGTTTGTAAGCAGCCCTCGTTCAGATCATTAGCACTGCTCTGCAGCTGTGCAGTCAACTGTGACTTGATCCCGCTCAGCATTCGGCCCGGGTCAATGTAGAACAGACTCAGGGCTGAGAAGAAAGTGCCTTTCATTTTCAGTTGTTCTTTTGTCTGTGCCAAGGATACAATGAGATGGGTGTTTAAGGGTACGTTACCTCGCAGGTTGAGGTGGTTTGTTGGTAACCCAGCACTCGCTCTCTGTACTGCAGTGCCCAGAGCGCTGAGTGTTGGCCTTGTTGGTAGGAGCACCAGGAGAGACCCGTGTCCCGGGGGGGGCAGTTCTTCATGAACTGTGGTCGCCTGCCTGCTGCCTCGGATCAGCTGTCTGAGCTTGTTTGCATGGATCCAGCACAATATTCAAATGGAGAGCAAAGTGACTTGGTCTGGGGGAGTGCAGAGCTGCTACCAGGGATCTTTCACAGCAGCCACATCCCCGGGCAGCACTTGAGCTGTTAACCCTTCGCTGGCGCACATCGGACCTCACTGGCACTCCAGCTGACACTAATGAGCAGTCTGGCACCAGTGACTTTATCATGGTATTATTGTACCTTTACCATTGTTTCCTACATTTTGAGCATGCCTTTAGGTGCTGTGCTGAGTTATGAGGTATTCACTCAAAATCATAGTGAGCCACAGCCAACGAAAGCGTTGCAACCTTTCTGATGTTCTTATGTAGTTAAAGCACTAATGTGTGCACAACTTTCTTGATGGCCATGATCGGGTTATATTATATATGGGAGTACTAGTGTCTAGTGTCACTAGTTGGGAGGCTTTTGACATGGCCTAGCTAGCAAGAGAGCTCAATGGGCCAGTGCCTTCACTGCCTGAGACATCCACAAGTCCTGTACACACGTTTTCAAGTTAAAAAGTACTAACGTTTTGGCAGATTCATTGTATTGTCAAGAAGAGCAGTGGACTCCATCCCTCACCCACTTATGTAGGAATCTACTGTAATTGTTTACTCCTCTAAAATGACCCAATTGAGTGATTTTCCACTAGTAAGTAAGTTGTCACCATTACAAAAAGTACAGCAGAGCAAAAAGCGAAGCTGTTGTGGAAAAACAGAAATAGAACAATTTCGCCACTTAGCAACAGAAACAATGGAACATTTTTTACAGTGTTGCCAACGCTTTGAAAATGTGTTACTCTGTTAATGTGTCATATATGGAAAATCTGTGCAGTGAATCTCAGTGGCATTTGTCAGCATCAATGCAGCCCTCTCCCATTTCTGAAGCAGTTCAGTAGTTTCGTGCTCTCATGCCAAATACAGGATTAATAGAGAGAGACCCAGGGCATGTTACTGGATTCTTCCTAGAAGCCTATCCCATGCACCCTAATCACGAATTTGAGAATGTGAGACAGGTATGTAAATGCAGGAAGAATACCCTTTTGTCCACCCTGCCAGTTCGCCCACTGATGGGTGCTCAATCCCAAAAGCTCTTCCAGCTGTTTCTTTAGAGACCCCAGATAGTCAGCACCTACACTACAACTGTGCACTATACTGTATTCCAGACACCCAAAACTCTCTGTGCAAAGGACTGCCTCCTCCTCCTCCTGCTTACAGATCCTGGTGCTCCTGCTCTGAAATTTTCAGTACCTGCTTGGAATATCAGTAGTTGCCATTTAGTATTATGAAACATGAAATCAGGAGTGCATAAAATCAGTCCAATCCTGGAGGGTCACAGCATCAGCAGGTGTCATTGCACCTGAACTCTTATCTGCCTGGTCAATGTAATTACTGGCTTAATGGGACCTGCTTAATGCCAGTAACTGCCAGAGATCTGCAGAGTCCTCTGGGACTGGAGATGAGCATCTCTGCCTTAAATCAGATTTCCTCTGTTCTAAATTAGAGAAGTCTAGTTCTTTTAATTTGTGTGCGGGGCACTTCCTTTCAGACTGGGAATGACTCTCGTCGTGCTTCTTTCAATGTTTTCCATGGCAGGTGTCTGTTTTGAAAGATTGTGGTTGCCCTAGCTGAAGGTAGCGTTTGGGAAGAGCATATGCAATATTTCTCCAATTGGAAAGTGGGTCACCTGGCCTTTGTACATCCTTGAAAAAGGGCCAAATCTCCTAATAAAAAAATATCAGGATGGCCGGGACAAGCAATCAATAAAGCGAAACCAGGACGTGTGGTGTGGCCCTGCAGATCTGGCAGGGTGATGTCAGAGTGTGATGATGTGTGGTTCTTTACACTGTTTGTATGAGATGCCCAGTGTTTTAGTCCTCTTGCCCGGGCGTGTGGACAATATTAGTTGCCCACAAGCTCATCTGTTCTGAGTGTTGCAGCTATGGAAACCATCATAGCTGGGCTGACGTGTGGGAAAGTGTCCAGTCCTGCAGGTGGAGTTGGAGGCAGCTGCCGTGTTTGGAGAGCCCCTTGGCCCTGGGGTGTGAGCAGTGCTGCAGAGATCCTGCTCCGGCAGCCTGTGTTTGGACAGCAGCAGGAACATCCTGGCTGTGTGACAACACTCCACGGGCTCCCGCCAGCGGCTACTAAAGCCTTTTCATTGGCCGCTCAGTCTGGCAGGCGGGATTCTTGTGCTTCTTCAGGCTTTGGCTGTGTGTTTCTCCTTTTCTTTAGGAAAGGAGACTTCTCCACGTGGGTTCTGTAGTACAGTTTTGCAGGGGAATGTTAGCTTGTGATCTGAGAAAACGTTGTGAAAGTGAAAATGAAATACACTTCAGCAGCCTTGGAATTGAACAGATGCCCTTTGTTAAGTCACACATCCTGGTCAGTATATCAGGTCTGAAATACCCTGTTTTTCAAGTGTAGTGCATGCTGGGAAATGAGTGCTGTTTCATCTCCTTCACTCTTTGTCCGGACCGTGAAAGTGCTGCAGAGCCTTTGCATAATGCTGTGCTGTTCACTGAGGGTGGTAGGACTTGTGAGAGCACGGAGTTCCATGCAGTGTGGGTGCAAAGGTAGAGAGGCTGATGCGGGTAGGTTACAGAGGCTACCCACTGTTGTGGCATACAGTGCTGAAAGCAAAGAGAAGCACAGTAAAAAAAAAAAAAACACAGTGAAGTTGTGGGAGAAGCATGAAGTGGAGTAGAAAACTGTGGGAAGGTGTGGTAAAGCAAAGAGAACCATTCCTGGCTTATGAGAAAGGAGTCATATCAGGGGAAGTTAAGGGGGGCTCTCTCCTGCCCAAGCCACTTGTGTTTGCAAGTATTTTTTGAAGCGGAAGACAGTTTATTATTTTAGGTTACCCCAAATAATTTCTTATGGGAGCACACAGATATACCCTTATGTACCCACCCCCAGACTGGAACAGCTGCAAGGTCTGCTACTGTGGGAAGGGAAGAGAGCCCCTCACACAACATTTGCCTCCCTGATAAAACCTTGAGCAAACAGATTGTCTGCTGTGTTTTGTCTCAGGCTTGTGGATGACCGATGTGTGGTGGAGCCTGTTGCTGGGGACCTGGACAACCCTCCGAAGAAATTCCGGGGTGAGCAAGGAATCCTCTGTCGCTCGTCTTCAGGGACAGCCTTTGGGATGCCAGGAGTGAAGGCAAAACAATGAACTGGGATGTAATCATGGTACAATAAAGAGGCGGGGTGAAGCCTAGGGAGTCAGTGGTGTAGCAGAGGAAACAGGTGGTCTGCGATGGTGATATTAATCTCAAATTAGTACAAAACAGTGTACATTTCAGTAGGGCCTTAATGAGCTTGTTTTCACCCATGAACAAACTGACCTATTAGTTTATTTCTTGTGGAATGAGCATTTTACCCATAGCATAATCACAACAGAAACAGAGTTTCTTAACCTTTGTGCACCTCCGTTTTGCATAAAAGCCTGGAGTCACGTCAGTTTCTTTGACACTTTCCACCCTGCTTCTTTTTTTAAAGAGTACAGGGGATCTTTCAAAGTAAATGGCCTTTATTGACTTTCTCCCCGATAATGGCTCTGATTACAGGGTCTGTAGTCAGTTCAGATAAGAGGGTTCAAACAGGAAACCATAGCTCTCAGAGGGAGAGTACTGAGTCAATATTGACTCCGTCCCTGATTGGAAAACGCTGAGAATCATGAATTGACTGTGTAGGACAGGTGTCCAGCCCTCTGTGGGCTGGTGCCACCCACAGACTATTCTTTTCACAGGACTCCTAGTTAGTCTTTTTCTTCAAAATGTTCTGAGCAGCATTTATTCAATAAAAAATAAAATAAAAAAACTGGGACAGGACCTTAACATGATAGGACAGATGTTTGGGGATGCAGAGATGGTCACAACTGTAGAGTGTAATTAGAGCTGAAAAGAAGAGGTATTTCTTTCCACAAGGAATTGTGGTTGTCTGGAACAAACTGCCCAATTGCTGCTCATGAGGTGCCTCGGGAAAAGTCTGGGAGAGATTCTGGAAAGATTAGATGCTGAGGAACCGAGCAAGTAAGAATGTGCCTGGTGGAGATCCTGTCACCTGGACCCTATCTGACCTTCTGACCGTTCCTACACAAATCCTGTAGGTCAAATTCTGCTGCATCTGCTGAGCTATCAGGAAAACTCTTTGTTTCCGTGGTGCCCCGCTGTACATTCAACTCCTTTACTCCCCATCTCCAGATTGCCTCTTCAAGGTGTATCCAATGAACCGCTACTCTGCTCAGAAACAGTTCTGGAAAGCCAAGCAGGCCAAGCATGAGAAAGACAAGATCGCAGATGTCGTGCTCCTGCAGAAACTACAGGTGAGTCGCTTGAAAACACAGCATTCTAAGAACGCTCTGGCTGCCTGAGAAAAGCAGAGCGGAGTGCAGTGAAGATGGGAGTACGAGGATGCTCCCGGCTGACATGTCACTCTCACCTTTGCCCTCCTCCAGCATGCGGCCAACCTGGAGCAGAAGCAGAACGAGACGGAGAACAGGAAGGTCCTCGGAGAGGTGGTGAAATACGGGAGTGTCATTCAGGTGAGAGTGGGAGTCAGCAGGTATGGGCTCACCTGAGGACCCCCTGGAGCTGAAATGCATGTACGTTCTTAAACAAGTGGGGAAAATGTTGACGAATAAGCAATTTGTCTCTGAATTGTTCACATTCCACACATGAATATGGGAGGAGAACTAAATAATAATAATAATAATATTAATTATATTTGTGTTTAGACTATGCAACACTGGAGAATAGCGTGTTTCTAAGAACTCCGAAACTCCAGGTTCGACTTCCGTGTCAAATATTTGCTAACCTTCTTAATCTGAGAGCAAACACGGGTCAAGCAGGGAATGAGAGCCAGACATGTTTGACAGGAGATTAAGACTGAGTACTAGAGCCAGACCTGCTCTGCAAGGTGTGTCACATGAGTCACTGACAGCTTTACACCCCATCAGGTCAAGACATTCATGTTATACCTTGAAAAAACAATGCCTGAGTAATTTGTTTAGGGTGAGTTATATCCTGGTCATAGCTTTAAGAACAGTTACAAAGAATGAGGTCCTCGCTGAGGGGCTGCAGTGTTAAGCCCTGAGGCCCAGAGAATGTGTGCTTCAATGGCTCAGAAGGACGTATGGTCTGGGGTTTGGGAGACACATGGGAAAAACCGTGACCCAGTTGTGCTGAGCGGCTTTACAGGAGGCAGGGTGACCTTGTGGTTAGAGATGGCCCATTTTTAACACTCAAGTTTGTTTAGCAAGATTGGGTGGGGATGGGGTGGTGGGGAGACCAGGGTGGTTGTTTAGCTGACAATGCCTCTGCTCTGTTGTGTGGTGTGTGTTGGGGGAGATGGAGGGGATCAATGAATGACTCACTTGGCAGCCTTTCAGTGTGACTGGATGAGCTCCTGTTCTCGCTGCGCTGTACTGCTACTCTGCTGGGATATCTTCTCCAAGCACAGGCTCCTATTCTGCCTCTGCAGCTCCTGCACATGAAGAGCAACAAGTACCTGACGGTGAACAAGAGGCTGCCGGCGCTGCTGGAGAAGAACGCCATGAGGGTGACGCTGGACAGCACGGGCAACGAGGGCTCCTGGCTCTTCATCCAGCCCTTCTGGAAGCTGCGCGCCAACGGGGACAACGTGAGAGACCCTTGGCACTCGCATGTGCACAAGCATGAGCACACACTTGTGACACTGAAGTTGCTCAGATTGATTAAAGTGGATTGAAGAATTTAAAATGAGTCCATTTCATAGAAAGTGTATGTGATGTTTGGACATGAAATCAAAACTGGAGATTCTAGATAAAAAAACACTTGCTCACTTCTTTTAAGTCTAAGTTTTCCCTATGAGTCTAGCGTGTCATCAGTCAGTTTTCTTCTTTTGCATGAGGCTCAGAGCTTTCTGAATTAACTTTGTACCAGTACACAAACACACAGTGAATGTGGGTGAAAGTCCCGTCTCAGATTAACACACCCTATACACGCCCACAGTTGTTCTGTGCAGCTACACACCTTCAACACAAAGACCAATACACCTGGAATAATACCACACATACTCACACCTATATTCAGCTCAAAGATAGAGAGCAACTGGACTAATACTTTAAGCACACAGGCTGCATACACACGTTCATGACAAAAACAGAGACACCTGAAATACTTAACCCACTACCTCTATCACTGAATGTGTCAAAACCCCTGCAAGCCCACCGCATGCACACAGACACACTCTTCTGCACAGTGCTCAGCCCCACGTAAGAATGATCCTCATGTGCTTGGACTGTTCTTGACAGGCGTGTCAGTGGTGTGGCTGTTTGCGTTCCAGGTGGTGGTTGGAGACAAGGTGATCTTAAACCCAGCGAATGCAGGACAGCCACTCCACGCCAGCAACTATGAGCTTTCTGACCATCCTGGCTCTAAAGAGGTGAGAGGCTAAAATCCCCCATTTCACACTGGACAGACCAGCTTGTTCGGCAGCAAAAAGGAACAGTAGTTCACACCCACAGAGCAGTTTTGAACACTGCCAGACTCCAAGACATTTCCCAAGAAAGCTTCTGGGTGAAATAAGCCTTGAACAATGAAAAGCATCACCCTTATATGATGGTGCCACCACCCTCATAAAAGATTACTGCTCTGCACCATGTTAAAGTACAGTACAGTAAAGTACATGGTAATGCACAGAGTGAGAAATCCTTGTAGTACAGCATAAATGTTTAATACAGATAAATTGAAATGGTGAAATTATCATGCAGATGTGCCATCATAAACTTTCATGCAGGGTGGTGAAGAAATATGGTCTCTGCTGAAGGAGATCTGCGTGACCCCTGATGAAAGATGCCCCTGCATTTGTGTTTTTTCCCCTTAATGCAAAATAATGCATTTGAGTGTGCCTCACCCCCTGCAGGTGAACTCCGTGAACTGCAACACCAGCTGGAAGATCAACCTGTTCATGATGTTCAGTGACCACAAGGACGAGGTGCTGAAAGGGGTGAGTGATGTAGCTGTAATGGGGCAGGAGTCCTGAATCCTTCAAGACACAAGCCTATAGCTCTTCACTGTCATCTGGTTAGTGCATGTGTTCCACATTAGCATATTGTCCAGTCTTTAGAAAGAAAGTGTAAGAAAGGCCAAAGTAATGTTATTTAAGTGAAGGAGTTTCAAATACAGAAATCAAGAATAGGTGGATGTGGGGAAAAGGAAGAGTCCAGGTCAATGTGGGGTCCCCCGTGTGCAGGGTGTTGGTGGCTTAGTGGCTGTGTTTCTGTTTGTTGTCTCAATGTACCAGGGGGACGTGGTGCGTCTGTTCCACGCAGAGCAGGAGAAGTTCCTGACATGTGACGAGTACAAGGGCAAGCTGCATGTATTTCTGCGCACCACACTGCGCCAGTCCGCCACCTCCGCCACCAGCTCCAACGCCCTCTGGGAGGTTGAGGTGGGTCCTACTGCATGCTCGCACCTGTGCAGCTCTGATTTGCTCCGGCATCGTCTTTGTCCAGAGCTGACTGGAGAACGGCTCACACCCCAGTGACCGAGTCGGCGTGCTGCTTGTCCCTCTGTGCTGTGTGGAGCGCGTGGCCGTGACTAACAGGCTCTGGGTTTTTCGGCAGGTGGTTCATCACGACCCATGCCGTGGCGGGGCAGGCCACTGGAACAGCCTGTACCGGTTCAAGCATCTGGCCACGGGGAACTACCTGGCGGCTGAGGTAAGAGGAACAGCACTGGAGTCCAGACTGCCTGAGACGCAGGTTAGCACATGCACTCCTCCCAGGGCTCTACGGGCAGGCGAGGGCACTCCTGTAAGCGCGGGTACCGCAGAGATGATCTTTCATCAAACAGAGAGAGAGCCGGGGCCTTCGATGTAAATGTCCAACCATGCATCACTTCTTGACGACACCAGAAACTGCAGTCCTTTCTGTCTAAACTGCAGCCGCTTATTTGCTGGTTCTCTGGAAATCTTGCTGTATATTTTTGGGCACACTCTGTTTACTGTGTACCTCCTGCACACCCCTAAATAAAAAGATCCAGAACTCCACTGGACCTGCTGAGTTAGTGATAGCCAGCTCTTATTAATTTCTGTGGTGATATCTCTGATGCAAACAAGAGAAAAGCATGGTTAAACATGATTCCACATTTGGAAAACCATGACAAAGTACATGCATGATTAAAAGCTGCAGTATCACACCACAGATGTGCGGTGGTCAGCTTGCTTAAGGAACATTGATATAGGGAATCAAAACTACGAAGTTTGCATGGGCAGAATCGGCAGCAGCACTCGAACCCGAGCTTTCGATCTTCTTGGGCTGTGGCCCTCCGGAGGAGTTTCTGCGGTGCCCATGCCCAGCCATTGTGCTCATGTATGTTCTGAAAACCAGCACTCCCATTGGGTTTTGTTTCTCCACAATCATCCTCAGGCTTTCTCTGGTCGTGATTTCATGGTCTCTGTCTGTTTCTTCCTCTCTTGGCCTGTGCCCTGTTCAAGCCTGCGCGAGCTATTCTCTGCTAACAACCAGGCTGCGAAGGGCATCTGGTGTTTTGTCTCACAATCAAAACAGGGTGATTGAATATGTTTACTGTGACCAAATCAATCACTGCGAGGGGCTAAAATACTTGTTCATAAAATCCAAATTCTCCATTTTCTTCAGTAAGAATCTGGTCTTTCAGCCACGGAGCCCTCAGACTTGATTCTGCCAGTTTAATACTTATTTAGGTGGTACAGAAGGCTTGGGGTGTCTTTGAACGGGACCCACCTATTGTTGAAAACGTAATAAAACGATTTCTGTTTTTCATATTCTGCTTCCAGCCAACAGCTACTGTATATCACCCTGCAGCTCTCAACTGGCTACCCACTGAAGCTCAGCAGGGTTGAGCCTGGTCAGTACCTGGATGGGAGACCTCCTGGGAAGCTATGGTTGCTGCTGGAAGTGGTCTTAGTGGGGACCAGCGGGGGGCGCCCACCCTGCGGTCTGTGTGGGTCCTAATGCCCCAGTATAGTGACGGGGACACTATACTGTAGTGGGCGCTGTCTTTTGGATGAGATGTTAAACTGAGGTCCTGACTCTCAGTGGTTATTAAAGATCCCCAGGCATTTCTCGATAAGAGTAGGGAGCTATCCCAGTGTCGTGGCCAAATTGCCCCCCTTGGCCTTTACCGTGGCCTCAAAATTGTCCCCATGTCTGATTGGCTTGCACTTGCACCTGCGATGGACTGGTGTCCTGTCCAGGGTGTACCCTGCCGTGTGCTCGTTGCTTGCCGGGTAGGCTCAAGCTTCCCACAACACCGTATGGTATAAAGTGTTTTGGCAAATGACATGGCTCATTCTCCTTCCATAAATTTATTTTTAAAATTGATTACCTACTGATGTCTGAAGCATGATGTATGGATTTGATAACCAAACAGTCATTGGCATATTTTACTTATTAATTTTTCTAATCATGGATTCATCTTATTTTGTTTTTGATTACAACCAAAATAAGATGATGCTTGTGATGTGCATATATATATAGACAAAATATATATATATGCGCTATAATGCATGTAAAGTCACATCATGCTATATGATATATTTATATCATAAAACAGCCCAGCAGTACAGGACGAAGCTGCAGTGTGTTCAGCACTGTGACAGTTTGTGCTTGAATTTCAGGAAAACCCATCTTACAAGGGAGACAATGGGGAGACCAGATCAGTGGTGAGTATGTTTTCATCAGGCTGTATGTCGAGGGATTAGTGAGGTGTCTAAGGGAATGAGCAGACTCACCTGTGGGACAGCAATAAAAACATTTTTTTTTAAAAAATGGCTATACTAACATAAATTTAAAATCAATTGAAATGTGAAAGAAATAATAAGGATAGTATCTACAGTATATATTGTGATGTGTATAATGATTGATAAAAATAAATATAGGATCTTTTTTAAGTGGATGTAAGCACATTACTTTTTGTAGATAGGTACAGTATGTTAGGCACTATAAGAAAATACATTATGAATGTAGACTCTCGATCATCCTATTGAGTGATTAGGCACTGGAGCTGCCATGGTTGGTAGTTGGGCAGAGGCTGAGGGATGCAGGACAGCTTGTCCAGTTCAGTGGCCAGAGCTGTGGTCACTCTTGCTGAACCCTGATTTAATTTTCCACCTCGGCATCAGTCAGACACAGGTCGCAGCAGCAAGAGGAACATGGGCGAGAAGGTGAAGTATAAGCTGGTTGCTGTGCCTCATGGGAACGACATCGCCTCTCTGTTTGAGCTGGATCCCACCACCCTGCAGAAAACCGACTCCTTCGTGCCCAGGTACAGACTTGCCTCCTGAACACGCTGCAGCAATTCTGAGACGGCACTCTTGATCACTGCAGCAACGTAGAGGTAGTGCTTTGTTCTAGGACACAGCATAGGGAGCTGTAAATCTTGCCATAGAGCACAGCGCTACTCTTCATTCTTTTTTATGGTCCTGGTATTAGATTCAAAATTTTACACACATTTTGTAAGGATAAAATCAGAAAACAAATCTGTCTGCATCCAAGACTGTGGGGGATAGGAGGGAATAAGTTTATTTAGATTTGTTTTTAGTTGTGCATCAAAATAAAAGTTGAAATTCTTTAACCCAAGGAACTCCTATGTCCGACTGCGTCACCTCTGCACCAACACCTGGATTCAGAGCACCAATGTGCCCATTGACATTGATGAGGAGCGTCCCATTAGGCTCATGGTAAGAGGACCAGTTCTTAAACTACAACTCTGAAGCCTTTTTACAAACCTAGCCACAGTCTTAACTGCCGTCCCAGCATTAAACTAGTAAACTGAGGCTTATTCAGTCTTGCCAGCTATCATTCTTGCACGTCTTTGCTGCATTTTAGTGCTGTAGTTGAACGCTTGTTTCCACAGATTGGTGTAGAAAGTTTCTCTCTGTCTCCTCTCACCCAGCTGGGAACGTGTCCCACTAAGGAGGATAAAGAGGCGTTCGCCATTGTGTCTGTGCCCGTGTCTGAGATCCGGGACCTGGACTTCGCCAACGATGCCAGCTTCATGTTGGCCACTGTAGTGGACAAACTGAATGAGGGCTTCATCAGCCAGAATGACAGGAGGTACAGAGATGGGGAAGGCGACCTCTGACTCGCATTCCTTTTGTGAGACACAGGGAGGGGTTAGAGTTGAGCTTGATTTTGTTCTACCTAATGAGATTAAAAACTAGAAAAATCGTAACATTTGAGCTTGTTTTTGTTCTACCTAATGAGATTAAAAACTAGAAAAATTCTAACATTCTGTATCACCATAAAAACTTCCATCCGATGCAGCTGAATATGTATTCTGAAAAAGTGAATTTGTATTGAAAACTGATATTGCGTCTTTAGTGCAGATCTAATTGTTTTTCCATTGATTGAAACTCACCTCAAGGCGCTAACAAACATCTGTGGATTTAGACCCAGTTCATGGAGCCCATCAGAGGAAATGTGCTGGATGCTGAGCTGATGTGCACTGCCACACTTAAAAGGCATTATCTGACGACTGCATGTGGTGTGATCTTGTAAGAGGGGCGTGTTGCGAGTCTGTGTATATTGACAGTGCAAGTGTGTTAATAACCAGAGACACTTCTAATTTCATGCTGTCCAAGCAGCACCTATGCCAGGTGAGACACAGAGGGTTATGTCCTACAAAGCACTACTGTCCTGCTCTCCTCTCATTGGTTATTCCATCTGGTTGACAGCATGACTGACCGGAGCACTTCCATTTGTCTTTAACATGCTGTGTTAAAACATTTCTGTGCAATTACAGCAGACAGAGCTGTACTGGTTGGTGTAGTGGTATTTAATTGTCAGTATTCACTTTGAACTTGTGGTTTTAACTTTTTCACTGCACACCCTGGTCTCTCATTCCTTCTCCTGCAGAACTCCTGACACTCTCTCTCACACCCCTCTCCATCTCTCACTCCATTGTCATCCTTTCTCTTGTTTTCCTGGTCTCTCTTCCTCCACTTAGTCCTCTACCTGTTGTCCCTTAGATTTGCCATCAAGCTTTTGGAGGACCTGGTATTCTTTGTGGTGGACACACCTAACACTGGCCAGTCCGTGCTGGATGTGGTGATAACCAAAGCCAACCGGGAGAGACAGAAACTCATGAGGGAGCAGAACATCCTTAAACAGGTAGGGGTGCTTCTGCAGGGCAGGACAGTAAGGGTCTGACAATGTCTTGTCTTTGGTATCAGTTTCCCCAGTGTGTGGTCATATTCCCTGTCTCTTGAGTACACAGATCTTATGAAACTCAGTTTCAAACAACAATGCCATCTTAAGTATAGTTTGCCACAGTCGATTTGTCCTTTGGTTTTGTTAGTTTCCCATAGTTTACCCATGTTTGTCTCATTAATTTACTTTGTTTTACCAAATTTCTGCATTGATGTTCTATGCTTTAACATATATTTCCAGGTTTACCTTGTTTCCCTTGAAGCTTCCTGATTATTTTTTTTCTTTGCTTGGAAAAAAAAACTACAGGTTTTCTTTGCTTAGAGAAAACTACGGAGTCAGAAAGAAAGAATTAAGAGGATCAGGGACAAAGAGAGTGTCCTGCTCAGCATTCTCAACTGCTTATGTATGACCTGCTAACAGGGAAGAACCTGCTCTAACTATGGTGTAGTAAATGTTAACAGGGCAGTAAGACAGGTAGACATGGTCTGCTACAGACCATATAGACCAGAGCTGAAGTTGTAGGCTCCCACCAGCCAAGCTCTGCAGTAGTTGAAAATTAGCGTTCATCCAGTTCTGCATCTCTGCTTTATCTTTCCCTGTGCACTTCTCCTGCACCAGATATTCGGGATTCTGAAGGCTCCCTTTAAGGATAAAGGTGCAGAAGGACCCCTCCTGCGCCTTGAGGAGCTGGCAGACCAGAAGAATGCACCCTACCAATACATGTTCCGGCTGTGTTACCGTGTCCTGCGCCACTCCCAGGAGGAATACCGCAAAAACCAGGTAGGGTTCTTGTTAGCCAGGCCCAAGAACCAGCTCCTACAGCCAGCTGACGACTGGGGAGACTGGAACATTCTGCCAGGACACGTTTGCAGGTTTTGCATGCTTTTTTACTGAAGTACTGTGTAAATTTGACAGAAATCGTATGTTTAATTAAAAAGGGGTTTCATTCAAATGCTGCACATTGACATCTCACAACCATTTAGTTCTAGGGGAGCTAGATGAGATGGATGGGGATCATCTTTAATTAAATAGGGGGCTTTAAAGGTGCCTTAGTCATGTGGACATTTCTTTAGAGCTGTCAGTCCTTCACTCCAAGTTGTATTTTTCTAAAGAGATACGGATGAGACAGTGGTGTTAATCAGCTTCTTGCAGCATAAGACAGCACCGCAGTCTCGCCTTTCCCTCCACTAGCCTGCAGAGCTCTTCACTTGGGCGTGGTTGCAAGTGCCTTGCTCAACATGTGTTATGAAAAGGTATTGAGGACATGACTCCACCCTTCCCCTTCCATCACCACAACAGGAGCACATTGCCAAGCAGTTTGGCGTGATGCAGTCCCAGATTGGCTATGACATTCTGGCTGAGGACACCATCACCGCACTGCTGCACAACAACCGCAAGCTGCTGGAGAAGCACATCACCAAGACTGAGGTGGAGACCTTCGTCAGTCTGGTGCGCAAGAACCGGGAGCCAAGGTAGGAAGAACTGATAGGAAGGGCATCAGACTGCTGTGGAATTGTTTTCCAGAGTGCTCATGGAATATCCTTCCTTTTTGGCCAGGTTCCTGGACTACTTGTCAGACCTGTGTGTATCCAATCATGTGGCCATCCCTGTCACTCAGGAGCTGATCTGCAAGTGTGTGTTGGACCCCAAGAACCAGGACATCCTCATCAAGACAGAGTGAGTGAGGCTTTACCCCATGTCTTCCCTCCTCAGGGCTCGTGAACTGCAGGGGCTCTGTGTCCAGAAGTGCAGTATGTGTACGTGGTACATATATACCACCCCATTTTGGGATGGAATCCCAATCCAAATTATTTTGGGAATATGTTTCCTTTTGTGAAGAGATTCACTGTTTAATTGTCACAGGAGCTCCAAACATATTCACATCTTGAGCGACAGTGAGATGTGGAGTTTCTCATGAAACAGTGATTGCAGACATGTCATGCCAATGTACGCATGTGTGTGCAGGCGCCGCGTGCCCAAGGAGATGCCTCAGACCACAGAGTACAGTATATCCCTGGAGGAGTATGGTGATGAGGACGAGGTATGGCTGGTGTGGACAGATAAGAACAACGAGAAGCAAGAGAAGAGCATCCGGCAACTTGCGCAGGAGGCCCGGCAGGGGAATGCACATGATGAGAATGTGCTCACTTACTACAGGTATTCCTAGCACAGATGCGTGTGCATAATAATGTACAGAGAAGTTTGTTCTACCACTTATGTAGCTCAGGCTCATTGAATCACTAACCTACACAGAAAGCTACCCTGCTGCTTGCCTGGAACAGGTACACCTGCCTCAGTCATCACATGGCACAGCTGGGCTACTCTCTTGGCAACTGTACTTTGACTAACGTTCTGCTGCAGATGCATCTGTCCCATCACTCCTCAGCTCTTCTAGGTGCACTCTGGTCCCTCTACAACAAAGAGCAAAGCTTGTTAAGAGCAGACCTTGTTTTCAGCAGCCTGTACTTTGGATTTTACACAAGGACAGATGGCTGTCAGTACTAAAAAGCCATTAGTTGCAATGGTTAAAAAACTCCTGGGCGTGCTTTGAGTTTAATGTCTATATGAGTGGTTGACACATCCAGTATTCCCGATCTCTCAGGTACCAGCTCAAGCTGTTTGCGCGGATGTGCCTGGACCGGCAGTACCTGGCTATCGATGAGATCTCCAAGCAGCTGGATGTAGAGCTGATCTTCCTGTGCATGATGGATGAGGCACTGCCCTACGATCTGCGTGCCTCCTTCTGTCGCCTTATGCTGCACACCCATGTGGACCGCGACCCCCAGGAGCTGGTCACACCCGTCAAGTTTGCACGCCTGTGGACTGAAATCCCCACTTCCATCACCATCAAAGAGTGAGGAACCTGAGGCGGTGCTTTCAGTTTACCTCTCTTTTATTTTCAGCCATTTTAAGACCAGTGTGGTTTTCCAAGAGCTACAGTATGATTGTTACCTCAGGGGCATGTACAACCCAGCATAGTGCAGTATTAACCAGAACTGTATAATCCCACTGACCACAATGTACATTGCATCTTAGTACAGGACTGCAATAAATTCTAACCCAGTGTTAAAACACTTCTCTCCATAAATATTAATCCAGTGCTGGAATGCTCTTGTCTTCTGCTTCCCAGCTATGATTCCAACATGGATGACTCTCGGGACAACAAGAAGAACAAGTTCGCCAACACCATGGCTTTTATGGAGGAGTACCTGAACAATGTGCTGAATGATGACCTGCCTTTTTCCAACGATGAGAAGAACAAGCTCACCTATGAGGTGGGTGTACCGCCCCACCACCTCCAGGACAAAGACACAGGCAGTCGTTCCCCTTCTCTGTACCTGTCTGTGTTTTAAACTTCGCCAGGCATATCCCCTATACACAGCCATGTTCACATGATCCACATGATCCACTCTTTAGAGAGCCAGGCTCTTTGAGGATTTCTTTGAGGAAATCCTGACTTGTAAGAGCCACATCTGCAAAGGTAACTACGATAAGTTTGTCTGCTATTACTTTTTAGGTTTGCGTTAAAACTCATCATTAGATGATAAAATCAGTTTAACACTGACCACTTGCAAGCAATGACAGCAGCCAGTAGGTGGCTGTCGTGTTTTCATTAAAAGGTCTGTGCTCATCTCTCTAGGTTGTGAGCCTAGCCCGGCACCTCATCTACTTTGGCTTCTACAGCTTCTTTGAGCTGCTGCGACTGACACGCACCCTGCTGGGCATTATCGACTGCATCCCCAATCCTGCCCTCATGCACAACATGTTCCAGGATGATGTTGCTGGTGAGCAGAGCCTCCAGGGCTGGAGATGTGGGGTGGGTCAGAGAGATAAGGATGGAATTAAGGACTGGCAGTAGTGCAGAGTGAAAATGGAGAGGAGGGCAGTTCAAAGCGATCACAGGAGGAATAGTGGAGTCAGAGGGCTGAGCAGGAAAGACGCAGATGGAGATGAGTCAGAGAAAACTATGGACTCGGAAAGAAAGAATAAGAGGATCAGGGAGGATGGAGAGTAGATAACAGAGGGACAGAGAGAGTGTCTTCAACATTCTCACCTGCTTTACAGGGAAGAACCTGAAGCGCTCTATCCATGGAGTGGGTCACATGATGACCACTATGGTCCTGAGCAGGAAGCAGTCCATCTTCGGCGGTCCAGGACGTTCCAGCGTCAGTGTTGACCCTCAGGCCCGCAGCAAGGACAGCATCGACAAGCAGGATGTGACTGTCATGGACACCAAGCTGAAGATTCTGGAGATCATGCAGGTTTGCCTTCAGCAAGTGCACAGTGGAGACCTGTTGAAAAAGTGCAAAATGAACAACTGAATTAAACCAGGGAATCTTGTTTAGAATGGGAAAGCGCTATGTTCACTGGGGAAAATGCAGTGCGTTTTCAGTCTTCAAGGCCTGCAAGGCTTCTGGGTCTCACCACCTCTCAGTTAGTTAATTGATTGTTTGTTAAATTAAGCCAATTTAATCCTTTCCTTAGGGATAAAGCAGGCTATGATAAGCATAGTCCTGTGAGTGCTGAGAAATGCATTCTGTCATCGCAGGAGGCACTTTGCTCCTCCATGTCTTTCCATGACTCTGCCAGGGATGAACAATGCTGTGAAAGATGGATTGGAACATACACTAGGGATGATCCGGCTGGAGAACTACGTTACATAAAGAATTTTCTTAACTCGCAGCGGTTACTGACATTGATGTTTCAGGACTGTGAGTCTTTCTCTGTTCTGACCTTATTCTTCTTTTTTCTCACCCTCCCCAGTTCATTCTCAATGTGCGTCTGGACTATCGTATCTCCTTCCTGCTCTCCGTCTTCAAGAAGGAGTTTGTGGAGGTGTACCCCATGGAAGATGCAGACGCCACTGCTGCCATCGAGCATGCAGGTGACCCTCTGATATGTGTCCTGCAGGAAACTAAGCATTCATTCTCCTTTTCCTTCTACTTCATAATCTGTATCTTTATATTTTCTGCACCAGCTACCATTAACCTGCAGCGCATTGGAGAGCAAGCAGAAGCCATGTTCGGAGTTGGGTAAGTCCAATTTTTGATGTTTGTTCCTTGATGCCCATTGTTTCTATCAGCGGTCTGTTCCTGTAGTTCTTTAGGATGTGAATCACTGGTTAATTGTAACAATTTTAGCCAGAAACTTACACTGTTATGTAATTGAAGATGAAACCCAAAAGACTTGTAGACCAGCGTTATCGAGAGAGAGACCTTGCAAGTTCTAGCTGAAGATGATGATAATATGCTGAATTCACTTCATACGGTGTCTCACAGAAATGTATTTGTGAAGATGTGCATTGTGCTGATCCAGCCTTCTCTCCAACCCAGGAAGAATAACAGCATCCTGGAAGTGGATGATGAGGGGGGTCGCATGTTCCTGCGGGTTTTGATCCACCTCACCATGCATGACTACCCCCCACTCATATCGGGCGCATTGCAGCTGCTCTTCAAACACTTTAGCCAGAGACAGGAGGTCTTGCACACCTTCAAACAGGTAACTGGCCTTCTGACTACATTCAGTGCAGATAGCTCACCTTCTGACAGGTAACCACATTCAAGATGGGTAGTGTATCTGACCTTCTGACAGGTGACCACATTCAGGGCAGGTAGCTCACCTTCTGACTGGTAAGCTATCACTTTCAGGCAGGCAGTATTCAACTTTTGAATGTTTAACACATGTTCAGAATATCAAATGTTAGTTTAAAGACCAGTGTAACTGTGTGTGAATTGTAGTAGTTTAAGCTTCCCTCCGTCTCTTTCTCCATTTCCCTCTCCTCTCTCCTACTCGCTTCTTTCCCATCCTCCCTCTCTCCATTTCCTGTCTCTCTCTTAGGTCCAGCTGCTGATCTCGGCGCAGGACGTCGACAACTACAAGCTTATCAAGAGCGACTTGGACCGGCTGCGCACCATGGTGGAGAAGTCAGAGCTGTGGGTGGACAAGAAAAGCAGCAGCGCAGGGGGAGGGGAGGGGAAGATGGACAAGAAGGAGAAAGAGGTTAGGGCTGCATAGTCACAGGGGCGGTTCGCTGGGCAGTTTGTATAGAGTGGGAGTCACAACGGATCCTGGGCTTCCCAGGTCAATCCTCAAATTTGAAGTCATGTCTGTATCAATGACAAGTAAAAACTGTATTAAATGCACTACCTGAGAGCCATAGTTAATTCAGCGTTCTTCTTGAAGAGCCTGGTTTTAGGAGAGCAGATCACATATTTTCAATAACAAATTCCATTTATATTTCTGTCCTAATGAAATAAAGCTTACTGCACTGAGGTGTGGTTAGTTTTATCGGAGACCCCTAGGGTTGTGTCAGTGCAAGCTGGGAAACCAATGTCCCTACCCTCTCCTAGGCTGTTCCTGAAGCCCCCGAGCCAAAGAAGGAGAAGTCGGAGAAGAGCAACGAGAACTATCAGATCGTCAAGGAGGTTGTTGTGCTGCCTTGGCATACTCTGGGGTCTAGATGCAAATTAGTTTGTACAGGGCAGGGTGGTTATATTAGAGGGGCTGAGTAATAACTTATGTTGACCTGTGTGTTCAGATATATGTTTGTTTTTTCTGCTTGATAAGCACCCCTTGAGCTTCCATATACACTAACCAGTTCCTGATCCCACCTTTGACTCACCTGTAATTTCCCTCGGACTCCTCCTGAACTTTCATGACATCCCCTGACCTCTGTCTGAGACCTCTCTGTGACCCCTGTTCCCCGGCAGATCCTGGAGCGGCTCAATAAGATGTGCAGCTCAGGGGTGTGGAAGAAGCAGCAGCGTCTCTTGAAGAACATGGGCGCCCACAAGGTGATGCTGGATCTGCTGCAGGTCTCCTATGACAAGGTGAGTGAGTGTTGGGCACTGTGCTGGGCTGTAACCCCAAGGGGACTTCACACGCAGGGTCAGATCCATCCCAGTTAACCGGGAAACCACACTGTCATCGTCCAGGCTCCTCTAGCACCCAGTACTCCCTCTGGTGCTCTGCGGTTGTGTTCGGTCCGACCTCAGCCTGCCGCAGACATGGTGTTAAAAGTTGCCCTCATATTAGGATTAAAACTGATAATAATAAGCAGTGGCAAACATTGGCATTTCTTAAATGGCATTGCCTATAACTAGACATTAGATGCTGACAAATCGAATCTGTGATGTGAGTGAACAAGTATTGTAGCATTTGCTAAAATGCTGTGCCTTGGCTGTTTGAGTCTATTCAGCATGGATTATGAATGTTGTGATGGTCTTTTTTGCCTCTTCCCTTTCTCAGAGCGATATGAAAATGCAAGAAATCATAAAGTACACTCACCAGTTCCTCCAGAAGTTCTGCATGGGCAATCCTGAGAACCAGGCCCTGCTTCACAAAAACCTCAGCCTCTTCCTCAACCCAGGGGTAAGTGATGGATCTACAGCCTATTTTTCAACCATCCCTAAGACTTGCAGGCCTGATGTCTTAGCTGCTCTTTTGCGATATTCTGTCACTTAGAGTATAAGAGGATGTTAAGCCATCAATTCAAACTGAATTGTTTATACTACCCATATGTGCTCTGAAATTGGTACCCCAATGCTTTGTAAGGTCATGGAGTTGTTTTTCGTATTCTCTCACATCTGTCACTCTGTCCTTATTTCCCTTCTGTACACCAGCTCCTGGAAGCAGAGACAGTGCAGTACATCTTCGCTAACAACTACCAGCTGTGCTCCGAGATCAGTGAGACGGTCCTGCAGCACTTCATCCACTGCCTGGCCACGCATGGCCGCCATGTGCAGTATCTCAACTTCTTGCACACCATCATCAAGGCCGAGGGAAAATACGTCAAGAAGTGCCAGGACATGATCATGACCGAGGTAAGAAAGCGCCCCCGGTGTTTCCCACTCTGGAGCCTCTTTGTTAATTTTGTGCTGAGCATAGCATTGCAATAGGTTTATTATGCTGAAGCCAAGGCAGCTGTCCAGTGTCCAATCCCCCCCCCACCCTCTCTTTCCTCTCTCCTTGAACATGCAGCTGACAAACGCAGGGGAAGACGTGGTTGTGTTCTACAACGACAAGACGTCCTTTGCCATAATGCTGGAGCTGATGGCGGAGTCGCGGGAGGGCGTCCAGGAGAACAGCCCGCTGCGCTACCACATCTCTCTGGTGGAGCTGCTGGCCGCCTGCGCCGAGGGCAAGAATGTCTACACTGAGATCAAGTGCACTTCGCTGCTGCCCCTGGAGGACGTGGTGCGCGTCGTCACCCATGAGGACTGCATCACTGAGGTATCACAACGGGACAGCTGGCACTTTGGGTCAAGAGTCCCTCAAAAGTGTAAAGTTGTCCACAATGCTTCTCTCACTCTACAAAGGGGTTTGACATAGAGGGATTTGGCAGAGGTCAGAAGAACCGGATAAACTAAGTTTTTTTTTTTTGATCAAACAATGACCAGCAGTTCCTTAGGGTGTGCTGTAGCTGATTAAACATCCTGAATGGAAGAAGGGTGATATCTAGGTGTGGAGTCTGTTACTTTTCAGTATAAGTTGCTATCGCCCTCTGCAGGTGAAGATTGCCTACGTCAACTTTGTGAACCACTGCTATGTGGACACGGAGGTGGAGATGAAGGAGATCTACACTAGCAATCACATCTGGAAGATGTTTGAGAACTTCACTGTGGACATGGCCAGGGTATGGACCAGAAATTCTGTTTAATACCTTTGCTGAAGCTGGGATACTTGACCGGACCACACTCTCATATACCGGGTATATTTAACAGGGAACAGTGTTATGTTAACAAAAAAAAATGTTTAAATTTTCACCCAGTTTCTCTCTCTGCACCCCTTCGCCTCCCTCTCCAGGTGTGTAATAAGAGAGAGAAGCGGTTCCAAGACCCCACTCTGGAGCGCTATGTTATCACAGTTGTCCTAGACACCATCAATGCTTTCTTCAGCTCACCCTTCTCTGAGAACAGCACTGCGCTGCAAGTGAGTACCAGAATGGCACTACCTGCCCTTGTTCCCTTCCATGCTGACATCACCACTTCTGCTTCATTTGTACCTTTTATGTCTTGCAATTATCTGAAAATAGGAAGAATTGTGTACTTTTCGAAAAGGCTTTGATTGTCATCACCCCCATAGAGGACTCATGCCTTTGGTCTCCGGCACCAGAGGCACTTGCTGTACTCCTGCTACAAAGGACATCTGAAGTGTGTGTTGTCACTGTCTGTGCACAATGATCCTGCCAGGGTCAGAAGAACGTAAGAAAGGTTACAGATGATAGGAGGCCATTCGATCCACCTGGTACAGTTGTTTGTTAGTTGCTTATCCAAGGATCTCTTCCAGTATTGAAGGAAGCCAAGGCATAGATCTTCAACCTGACATTGTTCTTTCAGTCTAGAAGTATAGGACATTTCAGTCACAGAACGTATCTGGATCTTGTCTTGAGTGTTTGCAAAGACGAGATCCGTTGGGCCGTCAGCTGCAATGGCCCTTTGCCAGGACCAGTGCTGTGCAGTGATGGTGATGGGGCCCCATGTTTCCTCTCCCCCCCGCAGACCCATCAGACCATTGTGATCCAGCTCCTGCAGTCCACAGTGCGGCTCCTGGATTGCCCCTGGCTGCAGCAGCAGCACCGCGCACTGGTGGAGGCCTGTATCCGCACCCTCGCCATGACCGGTGAGACTGGGGAAGGGAGTTGTGCAGCTGCATGGCAGTGAGGAGGGGACAGGGGGTGACAGAATAAGCATGTGCATGTGGATGTGTTAAGGGGGGTCAGCCAGGGGCATGACTTGGGACAGAGCCGTGAATGGAGTGCTGGAAATATCTTGGGTTTATGGGTCTGAGAATGGCACAGTGATGTACAGCGGGAGTATGATAGTTCTATTCATGTGTGTCTTGTGCAGCAAAAGGGCGCTCCATTGTATTGCCAGTGGAACTAGATACCCAGATCAGCACCATGCTGAGCAGCAGTGTGCTGGGCTCTCTCTCTCGCAACAACCCCAACTACAAAAGCCTGACCCGGTCCAACCGGCCTCCCGCCCCCAACAACCCCTGGGACTACAAGAACATCATCGAGAAGTTGCAGGTCAGAGCTCTCGCCATCTTACACAGTACCCCCTTTCCATCGACAGCCACGATGAGCAGTCATACAGTATGCAGTGCAGTAAGCCATTCTCTCTCTCCCAGGACATTATCAACACCCTGGAGGAGAGGCTGAAGCCCCTGGTAGAGGCAGAGCTCTCTGTGCTGGTGGATGTCCTGCACCATCCAGAGCTGCTGTTTATAGAGGGCACTGAAGCCCGATCACGCTGCGAGACTGGTGGCTTCATTTCCAAGTTAGTTTGGCACAAGCTGTTCCATGTGTGGTGCTTCTGCATTGGAATGTACTGTAGTAGTTGTATGTGGGCTCCAAGTACTAGACAACACACTATGTTGTTTGCTTTGACTCCGTGTGTTAAATTGTGTGCTGTGATCTTTGTGGATTAAGCAGTGCTTTGAGCAAGAAGCACTGCAATGTGTTGTATGCTGTCAGCTCTGTATTAAGAGGTGCTCCGCATGAAGCCGTGCACTTTGCTGTGGGCTCTGTGCATTAAGTGGTGTTCTGTGCCATCTCGTCCATAGGCTGATCCAACACACCAAAACACTGATGACCTCGGAGGAGAAGTTGTGCATCAAGGTGCTGCGCACTCTGCAGGAAATGCTCATCAGAAAGTATGATTTTGACGAAAAGGTGAGAGCATCTGGGTCAGAACGGGCTGCTGGTGTTCTGGAGGTTAAGTGGTCATTGCTGTTTACTCTGGAGGATTGGAGTGTTGGTTAACAAGACTGCAGGTAGAATAACACACAGCCTTTCTCTACATTTCATTGAAGAGCCATGACGCATTGCTGTTTGTCACTACAATACAGCAGCTGCAGAATATTTGCAGGAATGTATAAGCCCCATTTCCCAAATGATATTGAGCATATTTACAGTATGGGGTACAGTGCTGTTATGTTCCTGTCCAAAAGAAGGGTGCTGGTGTAACCATGCTGAGACAGTGTGCATGGCCTCACTTCGGTCTCTCTTTTAGAGCATCTCTCTGAGGAAGGTGCTGCTGCAGAACTACCTCTACAACAAGAAGAGTGGTGGAAGGGGAGAACTGCCAGAGCTGACCTTAGGGGGTAAGAACAGTTCCAGAGGAGACAGGTGTCTGTATCAACAGTGTTTAAACCATTATTTTTCTACTTACAGTATTTTACAACAAATGTTGAACTTTAGAACATTTGCAGCCCAGAGGAGACTTCCATATTGTTAATCCAACCCTTTTCTTGAAAAATCCTAGAATTTGCTAAGCTAGTCCATAGTAATACAGTACATTGATGTTGTTGTGTAAGGTGTGCTGAGGTCTGGTGCCACAGCTGGGAGTGCTTTCTGCAGTTTCAGCTTTGGTTATTTCTGGCATCCCTTCCTATAGCAACAGCTGTTCTCCTGTGCTGTTTCCGGAATTTTCCCTGTCGCTTGTTGGTTTTATTTGATGGTAGCTTTCTGGATTTTGTTCAGCACTATTTTATAAGCCTTTTAGAGCACCCCAGGAATTAAACTTAATGGCCCCGCCACTGTGAGGTAGCAATGCTAACAACTGTGCCACCAAGCTGTAACTTAACTTATTTTTAGCCTTGGAAATAGTAATTTCAGAGAGTAAAAGTGATGCTTTTGGATGAAGATGAGACCATAGCCTAGTCTGTGTGCTTCAGGTCTAGAGGTGGACAGGGACTGGGCCACAGTAGCGGCAGTGCAGTGTCGGCTGGACAGGGAGGGTGGGACCAAGCTCGTCACTGACCTCATCATGAGCAGCAAGAACGACAAGATCTTCTTTGAGAGCATCCAGCTGGCCATCTCACTGCTGGAGGGGGGCAACACCGAGATCCAGGTGGGAGAGACATACAGACATAAGTGTCAGCTCACATAATAAAACATTTTGTTTTGGTTACTGATTATTTTGTCAGAAGAGTGACGTTATTAACAGTATTGCCCTGTCTCCTGTCGAAGAATTCATTCTACAAGTTGATGATGGGGGACAACAAGTCAGAGAAGTTCTTCAAGGTTCTTCATGACCGCATGAGGAGCGCGCAGCAAGACATCAAAGCTACCGTGTCAGTCAATGTGGGCGAGATGAGCAATAAGGCCAGAGACTCCAAAGAGATGGACAGCAGTGAGTCTTAGGCTCTCTCTCTCTTTTCCTCTTTCTTCCTCTCTGTCCCGCCCCCTGCATGATCACTGGACTTCACAAACAGATCCTAGTTTTACACACGCTGTGACTATGATTTGTAGGTGGGCCGGCCCATTTCGCGATGGCGGACTCCACAGGGAAGCTTCATGCTGGCCGTGCAGCTGTCTCTGAGCAGCCGGAGACTGAGGCAGAGATGGGTCCTGCAGTCATGATCATGAAGCCCATCCTGCGCTTCCTACAGCTGTTGTGTGAGAATCACAACCAAGATCTGCAGGTCAGGAGCAAACCAGTCTATATGCCTGTGCACACAGATCACACACTTTCATTTACACCTGTACACACAACTATATTTACTCTTCTGATTTTTTTCTACCCTCCTCTTCATTCTCCATATAAAGAGTACAAAAATCAGTCAGTGGAATTGGCTTCTGTTCTTGAGAGCTCTCTTCAGTACTAAACATTCCCAGATGTAATTCAAGATCAGATTCTTCCCTCCATGTGCTTTTTGGGTATAGACTCAGGAACTGCTATCACAACAGGAAAACCTGTCCAGCTGCCCGTCTTGTTATTTTAATTCCAGTTAAATGTAACTGTTGCTCTCCATCTTGCTCAGAATTTCCTGCGCAATCAGAACAACAAGACCAACTACAACCTAGTGTGCGAGACTCTGCAGTTCCTGGACATCATGTGTGGCAGCACTACAGGCGGGCTGGGCCTGCTGGGTCTCTACATCAACGAGAATAACGTGGGGCTCATCACTCAGACACTGGAGACCCTGACTGAGTACTGCCAGGGGCCCTGCCAGGAGAACCAGGTCAGGACAGGTCATAAACCAGTAGGGCTGCATTAAACAGCCCATCTACAAAAAGTTAAAAAGCTGCTCCAGCTGTTGAAGTAATGTACCTCTTATTTTTCTTTCCATTCTCCAACCCCCCATGAGTTCTTTAGAGTCATGAGCAACTTGTTGATTGCCATCACTTTCAAGACATCAGCTTGCTTCTGCTGCAGCAGGAAGTACCCTCCAGGCTGTCTGTCACCTTCCACTGACCAGGCGTCTTTAGAGCACGTTTCTCTTCCTGTGTTCCAGACCTGCATCGTCACCCATGAGTCCAACGGTATTGACATCATCACTGCGCTCATCCTCAATGACATCAGCCCGCTGTGCCGCTACCGCATGGAGATGGTGCTTCAGCTGAAGGTTGGAAACTTCCCCTGTCCTCTCTCTCCTCTTTCCTGTTTTTCCCTCTTTCCCCTATGCCTTAATATTACCGAAAGTTTCAAACTTACGAACCATTTTTCGTAAGTCAGTAATTCATGCAGTGTGTTTTCACCGGTGTGTTTTGTTTTTAATTTTGCCTGGACACAGGACAACGCCTCCAAGCTGCTCTTGGCCCTGATGGAGAGTCGCCATGACAACGAGAATGCCGAACGGATCCTGTTCAACCTGCGACCCCAGGAGCTGGTAGGACAGAGTCCTCTGTGTCTCTGTGCACTGCCAGGCTCACAGTCAGGCCAGCACAGTGGAGCTCTGCTATGCAACCTCAATTATGGATGTTTTACATGGACAGTTTGCCCAGAGTGTTCTTAGTTTGCCTTTGTCAGACATTTCCCTTTGCTGTGGTTTCTGTTGTGTCCATGCCTTCCTAGATTTTACCACGCTTCTGTCATGATTTCAGTGCATTTTAACCACAGTACATGCTAGAAACCGTCTTTAAGAGCTGCAACTTTGCATTCAAAGCACCTTTTTAATCTTGAAACTTAATCTTAAACCCAGATAACCTGAATAAATTAGGTTTATTCAAGTACCCAGCAACTTGAATAAAAAAATTAGTTGGAATGAGATCAGAAGATTCTACAGATTTTTATGGACTGAGCTCCTGCAACACTTGGTGTCAGTGCAAACTGACAGGTCATTATTTTACCAGCTAAAGAGAGGGACCTCTGGGGTTGTTCTACAGAGTTCAAAACTATAATCTGTCTCTGTTGCATAATTCTTTATCTCAGTATTTTACTAAAAATTGGTGAGTGCAGGGTTTCACAAAGCCTGTCTGCTGGTGACCCAAGCGTTGCCCAGTGGAGAGAATGCCAGTGTGAGGTGCGGTTTGTCTTTTCCTACACCACCACGCTGTCCAAGCTCCCCATGCCTGCCTGTGTCCCCGTGCTGCACAGGTGGAGGTGATCAAGAAGGCGTACCACCAGGAGGATGAGTGCGAGGGGGGGGAGGTGTCGCCGCGTGAAGTTGGACACAACATCTACATCTTGGCCCTGCAGGTACCGCCCACACGCATACTCCCCTGGCACCTGGCGCCCCTCTGCGAGTGCTGGAGAAAGTGGCATGTTCAGTCCAGGCAGCAGGGCAGCCACAGCTAACAGCTCAGTTCCTTCTCTAGGACACTGGCTGTTGGCTTAAGAAGTGGCTGCTGTTATAGCTGATCTGCCACTACAAACTGCCAGATTGCCTGTTATAGTGGTAAATGCATAGAGTGGGTAATAATCTGATAATTGATTAGCCTGTTGTTGAATTGGTGTTTGTGCTTGTTCTCACATGGATTTAATAAGGATTTTTGTTAAAGGACTTGCTTGGTGCTAGTAGTAGCTGGATTTGTTTGAAACATTTTTTTGGTTGTAAAATTGCAATGAAGTCTCAAGCACTTGCTTCGATTTGTCACGGTGGAGGTGTTATGTGTCCAGATGCCTGGGACTGTCCTCAGTAAGGGTGGTAATATGTATCCTGAAGCAGAATTTTACATAAGGTAGAAGTTGTGAAATATAAGACATACATTAAGACTATCAGTCTGACTCTAAACTCTTATCTGATTGCCACTCTTGAAAAGGAAGGATATATACTTGCTGAGTTAGTCAAAATACCCATTTTCCCCTACAGGCCTATATCAGCCCTGTAGCTGAAAGATCCCTATCAATGCTGCAGGCCTCTTGTTAGCTGGAAGAGTGTGATCATCGCTTTGCAGAACCCACATACACACACTGTCACTGTGACAGTGAAACTCCACTCTCACTTGTGCAGGGTTGGAATATGAACAGTAACTGTAAACCTGAAATTTCATACATAAGACCTCTGACCCCTGACCTCTCCTTGCAGCTAGCCAGACACAACAAGAATCTGATACACCTGCTGAAGCCACTGAAACGCACACAGGAGGAAGATGAGGAGGGCATCTCATCCATGGTAAGACTCTTGCACCTCTAATTACAGTAAATCTGTATAGCCTGAGCGTGTCTTCATTCAGCAGTGTTGACTGGATTCTCTCTCTTGCCGTCCCCAGCTCAACCTCAATAACAGGCAACTGTCAAAAATGCTGAAGTCCTCTGCTCCAGAAGGAGAAAAGAAGGAAGACCCCCTAGAGTACTACGAACAACACACGGCGCAGATTGAGGTATGGGGTCACCTGGATGAGAAAAAAGGAGTAACTAATGGCTTTGCTGTAATCAGGCTTCACATTTAACCTCCCAGCTTCTCCTTACCTCCCTCCCTCAACCTCAGTTGGGTATCTCTCTCCACTTCATCTCTCTCACCCTTTTCTCCTCTGTGTGTCTGCAGATTGTGCGAGAGGACCGCAGCATGGAGCAGATCGTGTTCCCAGTCCACAGCATCTGCGAGTTCCTGATGGAAGAGTCCAAGCACCGTGTCTTCACCACCACCGAGCAGGACGAGCAGGGCAGCAAAGTCAGCGACTTCTTCGAGCAGACCTCCTTCCTGCACAACGAGATGGAGTGGCAGAAGAAGCTGCGCAGTATGTAGCATACTTCTGTCTTCCTCAGAACCCTCTTCCCTCTCCCCTCCTTCTCCATCCTCTGCTCTGAGCCCATCATTCAAGTCAAGGTGTGTAGCGTGTTGATCTCATGTCCTTGGCATGTGCAGGCATGCCCGTGCTCTACTGGTTCTCTCGCCGGATGACGTTGTGGGGCAGCATTTCCTTCAACCTGGCCGTCTTCATCAACCTACTCATTGCTGTCTTTTACCCCTACAGCACAGGTGAGCTAGGGTGGGAGGATGGGATATTTTGGGTTTGGGGTCTCAGCCTAGGGGATGTTTATTTGCCAAATTATTTCTGCCACCCAGCCCCCTCTTTCTCAGTTTTAAACTCTCTCTCCTTCTCCTTCTTACTGCTTTGTCCTCTGATCCACCCATCTCCCCCTGTCCAGAGCCAGTGGAGTCCCCGATCGTGCCCATGCTGTTCTGGGTGATGGCGGGGCTGTCTGTGATGGGGTTGTTCTCCCAGAGATACGGGCTGCGGCCCCTCACTGTGGCCCTCATCCTGCGCTCCATCTACTACTTAGGCATCGGCCCCACTCTGATCCTCCTGGGCACGCTCAACGTAAGCCGGCGCTGCTGTGGGAAAGTGCAGACCAGCTCAGTTGGGAAATGCAGTGTTTAAGGGGAGAGTTTATTTGTGATCTGTCCACAAGAGGGCACCAGACAGTCACACTTTCACACAGTCACAGAGGAGGTCAGCTACCTCATATGTTTCTAATACCTGATTTGTCAGAGCAGCAAAGATTTTACTGTTTTTACTGTAACAGGTCACTGACATAGTCAAATCAAAGCGCCAAACACAGCTAATCCTGTTCCGGATTTCATGGTTGAGAAGCAAACTAATGTGTAGCAGCAGCTGTTGTGTCAGTTTGTGTGTGTATAACTGTCAGCTCAGGACTGAGAGTACAGTTCTGTGCTGAAGTTCAGAGGCCACTCTTGTTCAGCGTCTCTCTCTCTTCCAACTTGCTCTCTCCTGTTCTCCACACTCCTTCCCTCTCTCCTTTTTTCTGCTCTCCCTCCCTCTCTCCTCTCTGCAGCTCATCAATAAGATTGTGTTTGTGGTGAGCTTTGTTGGCAACCGTGGGACTTTTATCCGTGGGTATAAGGCCATGATCATGGACATGGAGTTCCTGTACCATGTGGGCTATGTGCTGACCAGCACCCTGGGGCTGTGTGTCCACGAGCTCTTCTACAGTATCCTCGTAAGTCACACCCCTCTCCCACTCCTCCTCAAATCCGATTTCTCCCTCTTCATTTCTTAGTCTAACCTACACGATGAACAGCCAGCTCCATTTTGTAGTACTGGAGGAAAGGGGGCACTATAACCTTAGACTGTCCCCAGTGTCAGGGTGTACCAGATGTGATCCAGATGTTACCCATAGCCTTGCATTCTTCCAGCTGTTCGATCTGATCTACCGAGAGGAGACTCTGTTCAACGTGATCAAGAGCGTGACACGGAACGGCCGCTCCATCCTGCTGACTGCGCTGCTCGCGCTCATCCTCGTCTACCTCTTCTCCATTGTGGGCTTCCTCTTCCTCAAGAATGACTTCATCATGGAGGTGGACCACCTGTCCCAGGCCAAGGACACAGGTATGAAGGAGAAAGGTAGGGTCAGGGAAGGATAATCTGAAAGCTCAGCGCCACTACAGAAGCCTAGTTTATTATATAATGTTAAAAGCAGCACAGTCCAATAGCACAATGAAATGAATTTATGGTAATAATATGTTACAATATAGAGACGTGCAACATTACAGAAATGGAGGAAAAACTGAGCAGGGGGAACACATACAATCACGAGAAGACGTCGGAAAACATTACAGCTGTCTTTCGGAGCGGAGTATGTCCCTGGAGACCTCTGACCTCTGACCTCTGACTGCCCTCTCTCAGACATAGCCAGTGGTTACGGAGAGGCTGCCAAGGACTTCCTGAACTCCTGCAGTGGAGATGGCGTGAGCTGCACCACCGAAGACAACACGCCGGCCGTCCCTGAGGGTGAGAGAGTGAGCAGTGATAATTTTAACAGCACCATTTCTACTGCTGCCGCTAGCAATCATCACCGTGTGTTCAAAGCTCTTGTACTGCATTGATAGGAAGCAATATCAGGAAAATAATGATGGTTCTGAATCAATTGCTTATACCTAAGAAAAACAAAATTGCTCTAATGGTAAAAGAAAGCAGAATTTTTTATGTGTATAATTTGTACGCCAAGGCAAACAGTCTGGAACTGAAAGAGGGGGGTGTGTTCTTCCCTGTGCAGAGGAGGATGATGGGACGGAGCGCGCTTGTGACACCCTGCTGATGTGCATCGTGACGGTGCTGAACCATGGGCTGCGGAATGGCGGGGGGGTCGGAGATGTCCTACGCAAGCCTTCTAAGGACGTAAGAGGAGCCTCCTCCCCTCTTGATGTGCTTGCCTCTCACAAAGCAATCGCAGACATTTGTGCTTACAGATATGCCTCCCCTTATCAAGGCCCTTGTGGACTGTCCCTCTTTGGCATGCCAAACAAAGGCATGCTTTTCATTAACATGTATACTGTACTTACAGATATACCACCTGCCACTGCGGGGCTGTAGCCCAGCATCATTACACACAGAGTCAATACTGTACATACAGTATACAGTAAATCACTGCAGTGCACCTTTCACATGTTTCTACTTTATACTGCTCACAAATGGTTACCGAGCCAGTTTACTCCTGCTGTGCTATGCGTGGTGTGAAATGTTCAGATTAGTTTCATAACACACACGTTTTTCAGGTCTGCACTCATTAGCTGTTAAAAGCTCCTTATTTGGTAAGACTCATGCACACCCCTAATCCTTCATTGTGTAAACACTGCGAGCTTGCCTGTCTTGGGGAGGGGGAAATGTGATGGAACTGGGGAAAGAGTCAATATCATTCTCTCACAGTGGAAATGCTGCTAACTCATCCCAATCTGACAGTCTCGTCTGTGTGTGTGTCTCCTCCACAGGAGGCTCTATTTCCAGCACGTGTGGTCTATGATCTGCTCTTCTACTTTATTGTCATCATCATCGTCCTCAACCTCATCTTTGGGGTTATCATCGACACCTTTGCCGATCTGCGCAGCGAGAAACAGAAGAAAGAGGAGATTCTGAAGACCACCTGCTTCATTTGTGGTGTGTTAAAGGGAGAGGGAGGGATAGGGGTGCAGGGAGTGAGAGGGAGGCCAGCACTCTACCTGTGCAGAGAAGGGGTACACTGAAGAGGAGGTACTCATGGCTGAGCAATTTGACAGTGTCAAGGGCTCCCTAGTTTCAAGCACTAACTCCAGGCTCCCTTTGGTTTCTCCAGGTCTAGAGAGGGACAAGTTTGACAATAAGACTGTCTCGTTCGAGGAGCATATCAAGATAGAACACAACATATGGAACTACCTCTACTTCATCGTACTGGTGCGAGAGAAGAACAAGACAGACTACACAGGTCCTGAGAGCTACGTAGCCATGATGATCAAGGTACGACCAGAACTACTTCACTATCTACGATTGTTATTGTAGTGGCAGGAAATTGTCTTCCTGGACCAATATCTACCTCTTTTTTGTTTTTTTCAGATAATTTAAATAATGCGGTTGAGCAAGGGTTACTTTTATAATGGAAAAACCCCTTTGGCTTTGGTTAGAAAGGCAGATCAAAGCACAATATCTATGGAATGTTCATGTAGCAAAATTGTGTCACTTCATGAAGGGATTGAGCCACCTGACTCTTTGGCAACTATAAGATTCTTGCGATTTTCCCTTAGTAGGAGTGGGTTCTGTGTGTGCATAGGTGGGTTCTAAGAATGCAGCCGTGTATCTTTGAGTGATGGGGATCTTCTTTTTTCGCAACCTGCAGAACAAGAACCTGGACTGGTTCCCACGGATGCAGGCCATGTCACTCGTGGTCACCGACACAGACGGGGAGCAGAACGAGATGAGGAACTTGCAGGACAAGTTGAACTCCACCATGAAGCTGGTCACTCACCTGACCACACAGCTGACTGAACTGAAAGAACAGGTGACTAATCTCGTCTGAATACACAGCTGCCTTGAGATGTATGTACAGATAACTGCACTCTGACCTCGCCACACAGATGATTAATGAACAGGTAATAAATGCACCTGAGGCCACAGATCATCCGAGGTGAAAGAACACATAAAAGTCTCACCACAGATGCATCGACAAAGTGTGATCTTCACACCAGGTCCAGTTAATTTAAACACCTAAATGAAAAAAGACCTGGTAATCTTGAATTAAGCCCAGTAAAGTCAATACAAATGCAGTAAGTCATTAAGAGCTGAGATGGAATGACACTCAGTGACCCTGGTATCTTTCAGGGGCTAGGGAAGAGGCTCATTGCAGACTGTGTGTCCTGCTCAGCCCTAATGCTTTCTAGGATCTTGTGAGTGTCCTCTCTTTGTGCCCTAGATGACAGAGCAGAGGAAACGGCGCCAGCGCATGGGCTTCGTTGACGTGCAGGGCTCCTCATCTGCCACGCCCACTGGAGCAGGAGCAGGAGGCAACCACCAGATTGTCAAGACGTAGCTCCACTCCATCCTCAGTCCCATGCCCTGTAAGGCAGGCCCCCTCAGCTGTGACAACATGGTTCCTTCCAGAGCTCACATGTACAGTCACCTGGTCTCAGGGCCAGACCACTCCACCAAGACAGAGGCTTTATAAGGGCTGGGTCAGCACATCTTCTTGATGAAAACTTTACCAGCACTGTGCTCCGGAAACCTCTGAACCTCCTGCATCAGCCTCCCTTCTTTAATCTGTTTGTTGTGTTGTTGGTTATGTTTGTTTGTCATGGTGCATTTCATGACTGTGAAAAACATGTCTCTCTTACACTGGTCACGTACTATGGTCACGTACTTGATGTCCTTGTACATTTCTGTACTTTATTATTGTTGTTGTCCTTATTGTCCTTTGTGTTTCTCTTTTTTCCTTTCAAGTTTTTCGTGATCATGCTTTGTAGCTGGTGTTTTCCAGGAGGGGATGGAGGCTGATGTGACCTCCACTGTCTCACTGTGTCAGTGTGACAGAGAGTGCCATTCCACTACATTACAATTCAACTTACTGAGTTACCACATACTTTCTCTACAGTTTTTCTGAGGGAGAACTGGATGGAGAGGGAGGGGTGAGAGGGGCTGTGTGAAGTTCGGTATCCCCAGCAGAGCCTGGAATAAAGATTCAGCAGCCCTGACACCACCTTGGCAAACATTTTCACAATAACACTCATAGTCTCAGGACCAGGGGAGATACTGCTGTGCGGTCCTTTCGGAAACACTCTATTGTGAAACGGTTCTGAGCCAGCTTATGCAACAAAATGACAGAAGAACTGATTGAGCGACACAGTTGTTCATATAGTCCTGGGAAACCGGCAGGTCGCTTGTGTGATCGTGTACATTTCTACACAGAATTGTCAGCATGCAACAAAATATGCAACATGCCTGCTACTCAAAGTTGCTTATTCACCCTTTTAGTACGTATATTGTTAAACTATATTTAACATTTAGTTTTCAAATTCTCATCACATATTCTTGTGGATTGAGCCATGTAAAATACAGAAAGTTAATACTATGTTCTACAGATACAGTATGTGTGTGTATGCCTGTCTGTACTGCAATCTGGACCACAGCTGTAGCTGCAAATATAGAGAGCTGGAGAGCATTTATTTAAACTGTTGAAGGATGGTGCGCTGTACAGCAAGTCCAGCTCACCCTTTCTGTATATTTGTTTTAGAAATGTTTTTTTAAATGAGTGACAACCCTGCAGCACTCCGAGAATAATTCTGTAGTTATTCTTAAAATGGAAGCATCATTATCAAAACTGATTTCCGCTGGTGGTGTTGATGTGTTTTTCAAGACTTGAGAAAGGCAGTAAAGGGTTGTCTCTGCCTTGACCGTGGGAACACTCTGAGCTCTGAGACTCACCTGCAGGAGTGCTTAGTGCCTTCTAGTTAGTGTTCCACAGCTGCTTCAGCTATTGAACTGCACATCTGCAAATTGTACACCTGGCACCCAGGTGTTTCATATGCAACTGTATCTTTAGTAAAGTGAATGTTTTTAGCATTCAACTGTAAAAGACATTAAAAAAGTCCCGTATCTATTCATATAAGAAAATAATCAATTTAATTTGATTAATTGGTTGGAACACAATGCAAAAGGCACTCGGCCCTCCCAGAAGAGCCCAGGGGTAATGGCTTGTTCTAGAATCTGCTGTGTACATGTAGTTCTAGCACGTGAGATAAATGACTGAATAAAGCTGTTACCCTGGTTTATATATACCTGTGTGTTGATCTTTTTTTCATTATGTTTATATTATATACATTATATAAGACTCTCATGGTGAGAAGCATTCAAAGAACCAATGTCCAGAAGGGTTTTTGACAAAGATGACTACATTCGATTTACTTTACCACTGGAAGAAAAAAAGTGGGTTTTAGGTTTTAAGAATAGAGACTAGGAAGCGTATCTTTACATAAAGAGTTGTGAGGTTGTGGTGCTTGTAAGACATTACTGTACTGTTAAGGCCAACAGCTCTCAAGGATGTTTCATCCTGGATGTTGTAGCAGACAGCAAAGGCAACAAGAGAAGAGAGATGAATGTCCTCTTTTTTGTGTTCCTTTCTATGTTTAATCAAGTTGGCCATTTTTTTACATTGTTACAGTGCAATGCCTTCTTTAGCACAAACTTTTAATTTTTTTCTTATCATGCATATAGGAATATTTTCTGTTCACTCTCACTGACATTGAAGCAGCACCGTCTTGCAGATCAGGGACCTGGCAGCTTGTTTGTCTCCGTTTCTCCTTCTAGATGAGGTGCTGTACCAGAGGCCCATGGGACAGCAGCAACAAAACAAGAGATTGTATCGGGTTTCACCATGGGGGACTCCAGGAAGAAGGCAGAGTGGGGGGGATGGTATTGAGATAGTGTCCCATGGTGCTCTGGACACAGTCAGGATAACGGACAGCGCAGTGACAGGCTGTGGTGTGACACCCGGCTGCTGTTCCACCTGGCTAGCCGACAGTAGATGACAAGTCTGTTCCTTTTCACTGCACGCTGCAACAGCTTGTGCAAAAAAAACAGAATGATTTCTGTGATGCCATTAAAAAATACACATCCTGACCTCAAAGCCTAAATAACCCAGGCTTTGGTGTTTTAACCAATGGTTCTGCCCTGGCTGGGTTTGAAACCCAGACTCAGAGGGGTAAGACTGGGTGATGAGTTGCTGTGAGTGTCCAGCAGGAGGACGGCTCTCCGGTACCACCTTCCAGCAAACGGATTGGGGGCCCAGTTTCAGCTGCCCAGTACAAGTCCCGGGACCCAGCCCCCACCCTGCACACCCCTGCCCCCCGTGGTCTGCGTGCTGGCTTTTTATAGCGCTGCAGAGATATGGAGAAGCAGCTGTGAGAGAGGCCGATCACCGTCACTATTCCCCTGTCCGCGCTCTCTGTCTCTCTGCCACTCTCCCCTCTCTGCCTCTGCTCCCGTCTTTGTCTACTTTCCTCTTTCTCGTCCCCGGTCGTGACGCCCTGCTGCCCCCGTTCCTTCACCATGGCGGACAGGAAGGAGGCCAAGGTCAGCTCCAGAGCCCCGGAGAAGAAGGAGAAGAAAGAGAAGAAAGAGAAAAGGGAGGAGAAAGAGAAGAAAGAGAAAAAGGAGGAGAAAGAGAAGAAGGAGGAAAAGAAGAAGGAGGAGAAGAAAAAGGAGGAGAAGAAGGAGGAGAAGAAAAATGACAAGAAGGAGGAGAAGAAAAATGACAAAAAGGAGGAGGGGAAAGAGGGAGAGGCGGCGAATGCGGAGAACGGGGAGGTGAAGCCTGAGCCCATGGAGCTGCCGCCATTCGAGATCATTGAAGGGTGAGCTGTGCTTGATTTGTGCTCCTGACCCGTCTGGGCCGGGCTTCTACCTCTGAGTTGCATGCCTGACCCAGTTGGGCTCCTACCTCTGACCCGTGTGCCTGACTGGTCCAGGATGGGCTCCTACCTCTGACATGTGCCTGAATGGTTCAGGATGAGTTTCTACCTCTGACCCGTGTGCTTGACCCGTCCAGGCTTGGGCTGTTACCTCTAAGTTTGTGCCTCTAGCGTGAGTTTGATTAGTTGGAGGTCAGTGCTACTGGGTCTGCTTATTTTGGGATGCTGTAACTGAAAAGCCTGTCCGGAGGCAGGGTGAGGGTGCTTGGGGCTGGTTGAGGGTTGTGTGCCGACACTCCCAGAGAGCCTCTGGGCAGAGTAGCACAGAGTGCATGAGCCTGGTCTGGCAATGTGGAAACTCTGAGCTGGCAGGAGGAGACAGACAGTCCCTGGAGGATCTGAGTAACCAGTCTAATATAGCAGCGCTGAAACACACACCTGTTCATTGCGAGCATTACAAACATTGAAAGACGTCGGTGATAATGACTATGACCCGCAGTCATGACAATTGCAGTGCTGGCAACAGTGATAATGTATCAGTATAAACAGTTATCTGCCCAAGAGAGTGATCAGGCTGGTCAGGACCCCAGACTGGCAGTTCATAAAGTAGTTTCAACAGTAGAGAGGAACAGGGCTGCTGTTGGGATGTTTGAGAAACCCTCAGGGGCATGAACAACTCATGAGTACCATGTCTATATAATACTGTTTACTAGGGCACTTCAAGTCAGGATGGCGTTGCATGAAACAGAAAAGCATTGCTCCCTTGCTGTGTTGAATACTGGAGATTAATCCTCACCTTAGTGTGCACTGTTCCTACCATCCGTCAGGCCAGCGTGAAGATTGTTTCAGGAGAGTCACTGCTAACTAGGTGTGATACAGGATTTATTCATTTTATTGTATTTAGAATAGCAGGGAAACCAACCAGCAGCAAAACAAGCATGAGCAAGTACAATTAAAATTGATTTTGTAAAAAAAAGTTTCTGTTACTGCTGTCCTGTGGGATAAACAACAGCTCTAGGTGTAGCACAGGTGTAATGCTTCATTTACAATTCAACACCACTCTGTTTCAGAGCAGTATGGATATTTGAGGTGAGCGAATGCTTGAATGCTACAGCAGGCTCAGAGGGTCTTGTACTGCATATCAGGGCTCCCCTTTTTTTAATTATAATCTTGCCATTTTGGGGTCCCCTCCTGAGGCCCTGGGGGACATTCTGTGCAGGAAGCCCTGAGGCAAAACACTCATCACACTGATAATTTCAATGTCAAGCTTTATTGTCCCCTAGGGGAAATTTGTTTTACAGCACAGTCAAACACAACACAATGACAATACACATTATCAAAAGGGAAGAGAATACAGCAGTGTTACAGGAGAAAGAAACAAGAGACAAGAGACAAGGTAGTTACTTTGCATTAAGAGTGTGATTGCAGTGGGGACGAAAGATTTCCTGAGTCTGTTGGTTTTACACTTGGGGGCACAGAGGCGTCTCCCAGATGGGAGAAGTGTGAATTCACAATGGAGGGGGTGAGACACAAGCTCCCTGATGCTTTTGGCTTTCTTAGTCACCCTCTGTTTGTAAAGGATGCTTAAGCTGATTTGATTATTCACGATTATGTTGCCTCCCTTCGATAAGGGTCTGTCTTTCACTTTGACTCTCTCCTTAGACAGGTGAAAGGCCATGTGCTTGTTATTTACTCTGCAGAACAAGAGGCCCTGGCCAGAAGATAGAATTCTGTTCTTCTAACACTTTGAGTTTTTCTCTGTGCTGCTGGTGAAGCTGTAGGTGAGCTGGATCGGGATGTGTTTAGCAAACACTGGCGTGCCCAGGTCTGGTTGCTAGACGCAACGAAAACATGGCTGCCGTTTCTGTGGGCGTTAGTCAGCAGAAAGACATTCCAAGGACAGTTCCTCTTACCCTCCTGTCCTGAGGTCGGCAAAGGGGGAATCCAATCTGCCCACCGGCCCAGTGTTAATGACAGGCCTCCCCAGCTCCTCCCCCTCTGTAACCCAGTAAACTCTTCATCCACCCCAGCTGAGGTGCTCTGAGCTCTGGCAGCAATCTCTCTGCAGGCTGGCCCATGGTCACTTCAACCCACTTCCAGTACTACTGGCACTTCAGCTCAGAGTTTCAGAAAGTTACACATGAAGTGTAACAGAGCAGGCCAGCAAAGTCGCTGAGCCCCTTTAGCACAGCAGAGCTGTTTTTCTGAGGTACAGGCAGGTCACTGGGGTTTGGACTCTTGGCAGCTCCTGTGCTCCGGGTTCGGAGGTCGGTTTCTTTCTTTATAAACAGGTTTTTGTCATGAAGAGGGATTTGGGAGGCTGGGGGACTGGAATCATGGTGGAAGTCACAGACAAGTCTGTGGCAGAGTGCTTTACAATTTACATAAAATTCCCTTGCTCCCAGGGAGAGCTTTGTGATGTGTGGGACAGTGAATTTTGGGCCACCTCTAATGTTTTGTCCTGCCAAAACACAAGGGGATCTGTGATTTCCTGGGAGAACTGAGTCAGACATGCCCAGAGGGAACAGGTTCTGAGGGGGACTCCTCTACTGCAGCCAGGCCTGAGGAAATGTGCAGAATGTCTTTGGTGTCACAACAAAGGGAAACAATTGCTCCCATGGAGAGGGAACACTTGGTCAGTGAGCTAAATATAAACAGGTTGCATTCCCGGCCTGATTTAGCCTGGAGTCGCCAGGCCTCTCCATTCCAGCGCTCCTATCTGAAGGAGCCCCTCCACTCTGCCAGCGTTCCCATGCCAACGGCCCCAAGAAACACACTGGGCCTTTACCTCCCAGAGAAGTAACCTTTACAGCTGTTTATCACGGTGTAAAATAAAACGAGAGAATAGCCATGTCCTTTAAAGAGCACTGGCAACCTCACACTGGGACACAAGGCCCACACATCCCATGGGCCAAATCGGTTAACTACCTGACACAAGACCACCTGGCTTTGTTGGCATAAGTCCCTCCACAAGAAGACTCTTAAAGGTCAGGCTTCAATATAGTTTTTTTTTAACTGTAGTAAAATTGGTTGTTTCATGAAGATTCCAAGACATAGCAGAAACGGCTTCTTTGCCTCTCCTTTTCAAAGCTAAGAAAGATCAATAGCTTCAGGTGCAGGATAGCCCTGAAAAGGGAGGGGTGTGACCTAATGCGCACACTGGGGTGGCCGTCAGGTGGCTTGTCTTTGGGCTGACACCGGCTCTCTCGCTCTCGGCCCGCAGGGAGCGGATCAGCCCTTTCTTCTTCAAGTTCCAGTTCAAGAACGTGGAGTACTCCTCCGGCCGCAACAAGACCTTCCTGTGCTACCTGGTGGACGTGCAGGGCCGGGAGGGGGAGGGCCTGCGGGGGTACCTGGAGGACGAGCATGTGTCCGCCCACGCCGAGGAGGCCTTCTTCCGGGCCGTCCTGCCTGAGTACGACCCCCAGCTGCGCTACCAGGTCACCTGGTACGTCTCCTCCAGCCCCTGCACCGCCTGCGCCGCCAAGCTGGCGGACATCCTGCGGGCGCGGAAGACCCTGCGCCTCACGCTGATGGCCGCCCGGCTCTTCCAATGGGAGGAGCCCGAGGTGCAGGAGGGCCTGCGGCTGCTGCAGGCGGCCGGCTGCAAGGTGCGCATCATGAAGCCGACCGACTTCAGCTACGTCTGGGACACCTTCGTGGACACCGAGGAGCAGGCCTTCGTGCCCTGGGAGGACATGCAGGAGAACTGCGAGTACTACCAGGAGCGGCTGGCCGAGATCCTGCACTGACTGCCAGCAGGTGAGCAGCCCGTTCCGTCTGACTCGGGAACAGGCCGGAGTGCGTGTAGGGCCTGTGCCAGCGCTGCCCCGCCCCTGGCCTGGCCTCTCAAGAGCCCCGCATTGGGGGCCACTCTCGGAGCGTGCCCCTGTGGGTCAGTACCTGTCTAGAGGTCGGGAGCTGTGCGGATCAGGACTGTGCTGGGTCTCAGACGCTGATCTGAATCCAGGGTATCACTCCATAAGTTCAGAGGTCACCTGAGGTTCAGGCAGCTCACTGGGGTTTGGACTCTTGGCAGCTCCTGTGCTCCGGGTTCGGAGGTCCCCCACAGGCCAGTGCCTCTTACGGGAGAAAGGAAGTCAGTTTCTTTCTTTCTAAACAGGTTTTTTGTCATGAAGGGAGAGGGATTCGGGAGGCTGGGGGACTGGATTCATGGTGCTTTACAATTAAAATACAATTCCCTTGCTCCCAGGGAGAGAGCTTTGTGATGTATGGGACAGTGAATTTTGATCCACCTCTAATGTTTTGTGCTTGACCTCACCCCCCTGTGTGAAACTTACAGTCGTTCACCCAATCAGCCCTCCTGAACACCCCTCCCCCCTGCAGGAACCCAAAGAGGTGCTGAATTACGCTGATGTGAAACCCCAGCTCAAAATCTTCTTATAAATACACTCACGGTCTATGTTTAGCACACAGGAGCAGGCACCACTCAGCGTGGGCAGTGGAGTTCCTGCAGGAAAAGACAGGTTTCCTGCAGGGCAAGCGTTCTCTTTTGATTTTTTGTTAGTGGCTTAAGTGCAGCTTTTCATCTAGAGAGTTTGTTAGAAGTCATGCCATACTATAACTAGAATGTCTCTGTCCCCCTCTCTCCTCCAGGGCTTAGGAATGCAACCTGCCATCACAAGCTGAGCCCAGAATACAGCTCGCTGACAGCTCTCATTCCACAGTGTCCCGCCTGCGATGCAAAACCAGAGCAAATACACGTCTCTCTCCGATCTCGTCAGTCACAGGAGCACTTGCTTTTTTGTGGGACTGACCGAAACACCCCCCTCGCCCCCAAAACACATTTTTTCTGATATCCGGGGTCAGGTAGAATGTTAGCTTCTCTTTTTTTAACATTTGTCTTTGATGAGCACACATTGTCTGCCTCCCAAAGCGACACCTACTGGCTGTGTTTCAAAAAGCAGCTACTTGCTTATCCTTCGTAACATTGCTATTGCCCTCTGCTGAAGCAGTGCATGCTAGGTGGGTGAACTAAGGATCGACAGACATGGCTTTTTGTTGACCCTTGCTGGACTTCCTCCAGGTATCAGAGCTCCTCTTATAGAACAGCACTCTACGGAGGCTTTTTAAGACCAGTGGATGACAGAGAAGCTCTATAGTGATGGTGGAGGGGAGTCCCCATTATCTGTAAAGCGCTTTGAGTGGAGTGTCCAGAAAAGCGCCATATAAGTGTAAGCAATTATTATTAATTATTATAATTATAGATCTTTATTAGGCATCTCTGACCTGCAAATGTCACAGCACAGTGCATCCCAACACTGTCAGAGTGTGACCCATAGTGAACAGACAGTAGCATTCCGCTGTCCTGGAATTCCCGTGGAATCATTTCTTGCTCCTATTTTTTGTCATCCAGTTACTGCACTGGGGTGGAGCCCAGGACCTTGAGATTTTAAGTCCTAACATTCTGCACACTGCAATGCACTGGCCCTTCAGCCTGGAAAGCGTGCAAATTTATAAGAGAGAGATGTTCAAACACAGACATATTTTAACAGGCTTAGTCTTCTTTTAACCTCCAAAGTATTTTTTATTAGTAATTACCAGGTTTTATAAAAATATGAAGGACTACAGTACCTTCCTTCTTTATAGAAGGAAATGTGTGGTCCCTTTATGCCGTTCACAGTCCTGTTCTGCAGGCAGTGAGTGGAATTTCGTGCCCAGGAGGACTGTACTGGACTTACTGAGAGTGAAACATCCTTCTTCTCTGCTCACTAGAATTCTTCCTCCTTGAGAGAAAGTGAATGAGTCTGAAATGACAGGAAGACTGAGACTCTCTTCATTCTTAATGGCTTGTGTTGCACTACTGTATCTTAGTGGGATCTGCTAGTGGAGGTTTAACTGAGGAATATTGCAGTGCAGGTGTTCAGTAATGTCTCAGTTTTTTTGTTTGCTCTGTGCTGTGTACTAAACTGCAGCTTTTCCTTTTTTTACCTTAATACAGTACTAATTCAGCTTAAAACTTTAGAAGTCACCGTGCATTAGAAATAATCCTATTGAAATATTAAAAATTGTATTGCAAATTCTCTTCATACAGCTAATGCTTTTTTTATTGAATGGATCCATAGTGCTGTAAATTACACTCACACCCACGTGCAGTAATGGAGAATGGGATCTTTGCAGCTGAAAACTGAACTGACAGTTCTGGACTTTAACCCAAACAGTGTGGCCAGCACTGAACCTGGTTCTTAAGTGTAAGCTGTACGCTTCTCTGCTAGGTTTTAGATTTGGACAGTCTAAGCATCTCTAACAGCGTTGTCAGCTGTAGTCTTTGAAGGCACAAAGGAATTGTTCCAGCTGAGCTCACAGGTGCCAGACTGAACGTGGTGCTGCACTAATAAACAGGAGCATTGCTCGCATGTTTTAAGGGGACAGTATTTTAACACACAACTACATTATCTGTGTGACTGAGGTCCTATAGGACTTCAGCTCCCTTGGGTGCTTTTACCACTCAACCCAGCTATACTCCAGTCCCTGGCTCCTGCCAGGGGCAGAGTCTCTGTACATTTTAACACAAGCGCCAACTGTGAACGAGATCACATCTGTCTTTTTATTAGGCTGCCAAGGAATCTAGTTGTTCATGTGCTACAGATGAGCTTTGAATCACTAAACTATTCGATTCCTCAGTTGACCAATCTGGAGGAGTAATATGACTCCCACATCTCTGCTCATTGACCAAGTGCACCTAGAAAACGTAGCGGAAGTCTGCCGAACTGGTGCTGCTGCCTCTGCTTTTAGACAGAAAGACGAGCCATAACCAACAGAGCTCACAGTGTTAGTATGCAAAAGACACCAGGCAAGTTGTCTGCTATTCCTGAACATTAGTTAAAAAAAAAACACAGGAACCTTCTTACTGAAGGGACTTTTATTTACACAGTTTCAGACTTTTTTCAGTATTTAGCAACTTTGAAAACTAATCTTCAAACCAACATCAAGCATCTTGCCAAAAAAGCAATATTTTTGTTTTTTTTAAAGAAGAATAATCTATTCAGTACAGCTTGGCCCCTCCCCTACACCACAAATAATGGGAGAGTTATTGATCAGCTAACACTGAAGACACTTTCACCTTTTTGTTTTGAATAAAAAAGTACAGACACTGCAATCCATGACTGAGACATGAGACATGAGATAGAAATACAGCATCTTTGTGCACCCACAGACAGGCTCAGGCCAAGGGGCTATGGTAACACTAGACAGTGAACCTGCAGAATCACGCTTTCTGGGGACACCACAATACACTGTTGTAAAGCCATTCAGGAAACATCAGACAAAAAACTCAAACGTCAATTTCAAAAGGTCAGGGAGCAGGACAGGCCTGAGGTGAGAGCCTCCAGCACCAATGTATCAGGGCATTGTTTTGTTAAGCAACATGACCCCATCAAAGATCATAGAACCCTGCTCCTGATTCAAAACACAAACCAGAGAAGAAACCATGTTTCTGGCTGTACGTAATCCAGATGTGTCAGGCTGTTAGGCAAATTAGCCCTCCATCAACATGCCATTAACTCCGAAACAAGTAAAAATAAACAACACACCTGTTTGGTGATTAATATTTCTGCTCTGTTCAAAAAATGTTTTAGAAACGTACAAAGTTGTTCTCTGTAACACAAGAAACTGTTGTCATTTACCAGCAGACACACTAAATCAGTTGTCCTGACACATAACTGGCCAAAGTCAAAGCTGAGACCAAAACCCTGGGCCATCAGGTCATGCCTTGTACTGCCCTTTGATCAGCACAGCACTGCCCTCCAGTGGGCTCAGAGGGTATAGACAGTGATGCGAATATCAGTGCTGTGGAACACCTCTTTAATCATCACAGACACTTTACTCCAGTCCAGGCCATCCAGACCGCAGCCAATTCTAAAGGGAGAAAAGGAACATTTCTCAGTAGGTGCCATGTGTTTGCAAGGACAGAGGGCCTCCCAGAAAGACCTGCAGCTGGGGAGATGCTATCCAGTGATTCCGGATATTGGTGGTGAGAGTAAGCACTGCAATTCACACACTCCAGTTACAGCAGAATAATATGGCAGGACAATCACTAATGCCACAGTCTCAGAGAGTTCGACTGTCCACAGTGCAAAGCAAGACTCTCATACACACAACACTTATGGACAAGGACACTGCGTACCGGGGGATGGACAGCCGTGTGACCCTGTTCTCCAGGCAGTGCTGCTTCATGGCCTCTAGGCTCTTCCGCAGGCTGTCATAGGTGGGTTTCTGACTGGCCTTCTTCTTTGTTACCTGGGACAGAAGAAGAGGAAGGGCAAGGGAGACGTAAGCATAGGAGGGAGGGGGACAGAATAAAAAATGGCTTTATCAACAGTAAAGATGGTTTAGCCTGCCCTAATCAGTGAAAATACTGCTTACCAGATAATAGATAAATCGCTGCCCTTTCTTCAGCACTGCACACTCACCTGTCTTCTTCTCTGTGTGGAAAGATCAGGCTATCAGGACACAGACCCCTTCACATGAGCCCCACCAGCACACTAGACCCTCCCCTCCCCTCCACTCTCAGAGCCCCCCCAACACAATAGACCCTCCCCTCCACTCCCAGGGCCCCCCCACCACACCAGACCCTCCCCTCCACTCCACTCCCAGAGCTCCCCCAGCACATCAGACACCTCCTCCCACACCAGACACCCCAATTCTTCAATTTTCTTGCTTGTTTCATTTTAGAGACATTGCAATCCTTAGCTCTGCAGTGAAATTCTGGAATACTGCTGGACATCTGTGTCCCACAACAAGAAATATCTTAAGCTAAAATCTCAAGAGGTAATTTCACACTAGCTGGTTCAAACCTCAGCTCTGCCACTGATGCTCCAAATCACTGACCCTCCTTGTGCTCTGTTCTCCAGAGGAGACATGAGAACCATCTAGTTTGTATGGTAGCTAGTAGTTAAGCAGTCTAAGAATCTCATCCAGATGTTCCTTTAAAGGAATCAGGGTACCAGGTTAAAAAATATGGTTAAGTAGCTTTTTCCAGACTCCCACAACTCTTTGTGCAAAAACAAAGACATGAAAAGCCAAGATCCTGCTGGTAGTACATGATACAGCAGCTATTGTAGCAACAGTTCACTTTTTAGATTCCACATTTTCGTTTAGTGACACAATCTGCTGAAGGACTGCAACATTTTTGCCCTGGCAGGAGCCGCCAGCCGGGGCCCGCTCTCCCCACACTCACGCTGGGCCTTCAGCTCCTCCACACTGCTGAAGCGCTTCTTGAAGAGCACAGCGATGCCGGCGCCCATGCGGCAGTCCTCGCTGATGCAGTGTGCCAGGGACTCTTCCTCGGGGCAGCTGAACAGGTCACCCCGGACATACCGCAGAGCTCCCCCCTGTGGGGAACGTAGCAGTCTGTCTGAGGCTGTTCCTCTTTCCAGGCCCAACGCCAGGATCACAATAGTAAGAACAGACAAATGTGTGAGCATAGAAGCCTGAAAACTAAAAACGAACACCTCACACTACCCCAACCCCCAACCCACCAGGGAATGTTCTAATTTTAGAAATATCTAATTTTAACCTCAGAGGTTCTCAGAAAGACAGGGTAAGCTTCAGGACAAAGCCTCAAGCAGTTCAAGACAAAAGTCGTTGCCCCCAAACACTTCTGTCCTGGAGCCAGTGGGGAAGCCTGTGGTTTAGGAATCACCCATAGTGCATATTCATCTGTGTCAAGTCCTGTATAATAAACAAGGCAAGTTATTCAGTACAGCACTACTTTCTGTGTTGTTTATCAGCCTCCCGTTTAGTCTGTTTTTTTAAAGCGGCAGAGCTCTTTCTATAATACTGGGCTTAACTCAAAACTATTGCAATAGTTCATCAGGGTTTCAAATAAAACTGAGCCCGAACGGCAAACCTATAATTCCTCAGTAAAATAAATGCAGGTAAATTGCACGGTGTTTAAACAACAGTGGCAGTTTGTAGATGCAACTACAGGTTTCACTGAGTGATGGTTGAACAATCTGCACGCAAGATGAGAACCAGACGCAGTCGGATATTCTAAGTGTATTTTAAACAGTCATATTTCCACCTAACTTAATTCTCTTTCGCTTTCCCTGGTCTCTCTTTCCTTATCCATTACGCTCAATGAGAAACAAGAAAATGAATATTAACGTAAACTTATCTACAAACTGAAACAGAGAATAATACTGTATAACGTAAAAATACTTTAAACTGCATAACTGAATAAAAACAACAATAACACAAGATATAAACTTACAGTAGACAGTACTTACGCTACCGACATCAAGAGCTGCACCCTCTGGTTCTTCTGGTCTTTTCGTTGTTACAGGCTTTGGGTGAGACATATTAGTGAATTAGACGCATTTTTCTAAAATAGCAATAGAGTTGTACACATACGTTAGGCTGAAATAATTCTGCATATAGTTACGTTACATCCACATGTCCGACATTTTCGGAACTTCATGGACCTACCTTAGATTTCAGGCCGGAACGCTTTCAGTGAGACACGCCACGTACTCTAGAGACAATTTACATTTTTGAAGAATGTAGTTTGGGACGTATTCATCTTATACTGATTTTTAAAGCGCAGATATTTGGGTTTTTATTACTATAAAAGTATATCCCTTTACTCGCTAATTTAAAATCAAGTATGACTAAAACTGAATTTTATAAAAGCTAATTTAATACGAATACAATTCAATGGTTATGTAGTTACACAGCAGTTGTTTTGTGGACTAAGACAGGAAAATAGTATAACATTAAATATTTTCAATGTTATATTTTTATATCAATATTACCTATTTTTTTATAATACGGGAAATTCGCTGCTGTTTGAGGAGTATTGTTTTACGATTTGGGAATATAATAAAAACATTTCTTTAACTTTTCGTCACTCTGGTTTCCCTTTCATCCACAGTCACCGCAAAGTGATCGAATAAGTGATTTTTACACTCGAAGCAGGGAATAGGCTAATCTGGATTCAGAACTGCTCTGCAATTTGAAATTAAGTCGTTTATCACCTACACATTAAAAAAAAGATTCCCCAAAATGTTTGATTTTTCAGGCGTTTTTGAAATATCGAATACTTTTGCGTTTACCCTCACTCGATGCGGCTAGTGTGACCTATAATTAAACTGCAGCGGGAGTCCGTTTAAGCTTCCCTACCCCGTGTTTTACAACAGCACTGTTAGGGGGACAGAGATGGCACCAAGTGAGACAAAAGCCAGATAATAAGAAAACACACCTTGTCCTGAATGATTGGAATAATTGCTGTGCAGAGGGAGTGGGATTCCACATGAGGGACAGGAGCAGATAGGATAGGCTCTGCGTGGAACTGGACATACCACTGGATTAACAGAGAGCTGTGTAGAAATGGCCAGGAGGAAAAAGGGGTTCAGTCTATGTAGCAGTTCCAGCTTGGTAGGAAAGAGAGTGTGATTTGAAAGAGACAGTGATCTGGCCCACAGGTCTGTGGGTTTCAGTGAGAGAGAGGCTTAAGAAAGTATTTTAGGCTGTACTGGGAGACAGACAGGCTGCCCACTATTAGGGTTGTTAACCAAACAGCCTAACAAAGGTGGGGGGGCGGTGGAGTGACAGCTATCCCAAGAGGCCTGCAGGTGAGAGTAGGGCATCTCCTGGCGAGGTAACAGCTGAGAGAGCGGTCTAGAGGGCAATGCTAGAGTTCAGAGCACTCCCGAGCAATACTGACAGCAGACCGCTGTGGCTTTGTCCAGGGAGTGTGAGAACTTATGTCAGGCTGCAGGGTGTGATTAATAAAGACCAAGAACTGAATCAGCTAGTATAGTTAGAAATGAAGACTGGCTTGTGAAGAGCATGTGCTGTTCTTGGAAGACGGCACTAATTGAGATAAAGTGATTAACGAAGAAACGTTTGACGGGGTGACGCAGAGTTGGATAGCATACTCCTGTGAAGAAAAAGGAGTTTATGAAAGATTTGAGTGAAGCCATGAGAGAAGAGGAACCTAAACCTGACTATAAGACTGTGCAGACTTCTCCAAGAGGAATACAACGATAAGAGCTAAGAGCCTGTAGCAATTTATATTCATAAAGCGAAGTTCTGTGAACTTTGCAGAAGGCAGGCTGGAATGTACACATGAATCTGAGCCGCATTTGTTGATTTGAAAGCTGGTTCTGTAATCTGTAGGACTGCTATTCACAGTTCACAAGTGCTGAAATGTTTCTCCTCTCTACAAGAACCTATCCACTGTGCTTCCCAAACTCTGTTCTGAGAGCTTCTCGAAGCAAATTCCTCAGCAGAGGCATCTGTGTGGCTGTGATAATCCGCAGATGCAGGATGAGCCCTCAATAGGATAAGCACAAACAATCTGATCATCCCCCGACGCCCTGCGATCAGAAGTAAAGGTGATGAGCTGAGCAGGGTTTGGCCTTGCTGTCACTGTGTAGCCTGCCTGGGAGGGTGTCATCACACAGCGCTATTGGTCACAATGTCTTTAATTCTAATATTCAATATTATTCACCTTTTAGGCAAATGCTTTTACCAAAAGCATTACGTTTGAGAGTTATGAAACCTGTTCCTGTACAGTAACCTGGAAGAATTTTGATTCTTACATAAGATGACATTGACTTTCCCAGGGTGACACATGGTGGGTCTAGGGCTTGATCCAGGATCCTCTTGGTAACCAGGCCTCCTGACCACCAGCACCTCTGTGTATATTTGTATATACACATCTCCAAAACCACCCACGTTTGCCTTTTCTACATAATTCATGCATGTCATATTTGTCCTTCTTTACCCAAGCAGTACACTTACAAGGATCTTTCAGTATTTGCTGTCTGTCTCTACACAGGCTTTTGAAATTGTGTTCATTTTCTTCTGCCCCCCCCACCAGCGCTAAACCTCTAAAACACAACCTACAACCCTGTGCATAACCAAACTCAACCCCAGCATCCTGTAAAGCATGCAGGAGTGGCTGTGATTCTTTCGGAAGTCTACTGTTTTCTGACTGGTGTCTTCTGGCCAAGACTGCCAGTGGTTGCTTGGCGTGTGTGCATGCGTGTTCTGTAATGGCTCTGAAAACAGACAAGACTGACTGCTGCAGTCTGCAGAGTTCTCGGAGCACAGAATAGTTAGAGGAGATAATCTGTGAGCATGACTCTTTAATGCACAATTTAAGGTAAAACTTAATGGAGGAGAAGGCGAGGACACCTGTAGCAAGCCCTGCTCTGCAGTAACACAAGCCCCATAAGAGCTCTGAGCAAAGGGTCAGCCTGAGGACTGAGGTGCTGTCACTGATATGGCAAAGGTAATAGGGAAAAGGATCTACTCGGCACTGTGGCCAAGGAAATGCCTGGTGCAGTGCAGGGAATGCAGCAGAGACAGTCAGATTTCAACAGCACTAAATGGTACCTGATTGTTCAGGTTGAATTTAAGAGCTAATTGTGATCAGCTGTCTGGAGTTTTCATCTTACTGTACCTATAAATTTATTCTCTAACCTCATAAAGCGTACTTAGTTATTAGGTTTTTGTGGTTTATTAGGATCAGCAAGTAAATCCATTTAAGCTGGGTGACCTCAAAGTATCTCTTTCTTATTTCACAGTGTCTCAGTGACCTTTTCCTCTGACCAAAAGTGCTGATTAATCAGTATACAGGGTGCAAAGACATTCATCCATTTTTACGTTACCCTTTTGCCTATCCCTGTCCCAGAATGAATCATCCCAACAATCAAGTGCTACAGCTCTGGGTCAAATTAACAGAGCTCAAAAAGCTTTTCAGTGATTAAGGTCTAGTTCAGTAAAGGAATCTTATGTAGGAAAGTTATTTATAAATGTTATGACAGAAACCAAGTTTTTAACTTGTTTGAAAGTGTGATACAGTGTGGGTATATTTCTATTTTACATAATGTAATTTAGGAGCTGTACAGGCAAGCACTGCAGCTAAAGTAGTTACTGTCTCTGTCCAGCAGAAGGCGATGTCAGTTGTCAGGGCCCTTGGCAGTCCTGATGCAACCTGAAGAGTAAGGCAACACAGTAGATCAGTAGAGCTGATTATTCCACCAGGTGCAGCAAAGGTGAAGAGAGGCTATCGCAACGTTCAGTAAGTGTGATGGAAAAAGTAGAACTTGGTTCTATTCTTGCAGATTTGACATGCAACATTTAGAGAGCTGGGCAGCCAGAAAAAAACAATCGTATCAAGCCTGTTATTTGGAGTCTTTAGGGTCTACCCCACTCTGAGTCCCTGTGCCCACACAGTGTACCTGCGCTGATGGACTGGCTTGCTTTTGATTGGAATGGAAAGCGGCAGCTGTGTGCCACTATATGACGGGGCTGTCGAGAGTGATCTCCTTCTGCCCTGCGCTGGTGCGGTCTGATGTTCACAACTACCGCTCAGATGCCTACATCTGGATTAGTGCAATTTAATATTTTCTGCAAACTTCATGTTAAAAAAATATCTAAACCTTGCGATTTTGAGCATCAATGCTGTGTGTTTCTGTTGTTGCAGGTAGAGGAGG